CAATTCTAAATTAATTTAAAAACACATATTTATTTTGTTTGTTTATTTATTTTTCGGCAAGTTTTTATGTTCTATCTATTTTTACGGCTTTTAGGGATCCAACTTGCGGGGTATCCCTGGATGACCATGTTTTTTTTTTTTTTTTTTTTTTTTTTTTTTTATATTATTTTTTTTTTTTTTTTATTTTTTTTTTTTTTTTTTTTTTTTTTGTGATTTATTTTGTCAATATACTATTTCATTTTGGTCAAAAGTCTTTTAACTGCAATATAAAAAATTGAAAAAAAGAAATTGTAACCATTTAGCTGATACACTTCTGCTTTGACACATGCCACCTGGATGCTGGTATTAGGCAACAATTTCTCTTGATGTGAATAAAGGCATTTGTCTTCTCTGGTGTGTACTTTGCGTGATTACCTGATGCAATCCATGTATAGGTCTGGACGCCTGAGGCAAAACGAATCAATAGTGATCTCTATTTCCGTCAAATCAAGTTTCAAAGAGGGGAAAAGCAACACAGGAATGAAGAAAGTGTGATAGTTTAATAGACAGAGATGGAGGGAATTATCTCAGAGAAAGAAGATGGAGCCGGGCTGTTAGTGTGACTTCTCACCTTTTATCTCAATGTTTCAATGGACAGTACTTGGTTAGAGGGCAGAAAAAGAGAAGCCAAAGTCTGATCCATCAGGATGAATGCAGCCAGGTGGCCTCTCAAGCCAGAAAGCTTATCTGTCTCTGCCCTACCCCCTGCCAGAGGGAGCAACAACATCTCTTTTTAAGCTTCTATGCACCGAGCACAACTGGCCACAGGGAGTTTATAACATTAGAAAACTAGTCAAAAGTGGGGCAGAAAAGTATTATGACTCAATTATTACAATTGTTTTTCTTATGGAATTCTTCTCATTGAAGAGGCAGAGTTGGTCACATTGATAATATTACAGTGCAATGCCTCACGTCAAACCAAGTTAATGAAGTATACATAAAATATACAACAGCTAGAGCTCATCTTTGAATTCCTAAATCATAGCTCACAATATTAATCAATTATATATTCCAGTGGAATATGGTATTCTCTTCTTCAAAGAGTGTAAATGTGTAGCATTTACAATATTTTTTGCAAGAACTGGATACCATATACTCCGGACAATACACGAAAAGGACAATACAGCTGTAAGTCTAAAAACCTGTGATCATATGAAGTAATTTACACATATCTGATGGGCGGATTGGTAAAGATAGGTTTATTTGAACTTTAGACAACCTGGCCTCCTTCAAATTGACATTTTATCCAGGAATATTTCATCAAAGTAAAACTATATAATTGCCAATGTTCACAAAAACAGTTTGAACCTGTCAGTACTTAAGAAAGTGTGGAGAATTTTTAGATAAAATGCAAATATGTAAACACTGTACTGTTGAAGACATGCTACCCTCGGTTATAGTTGTACATTCCCATGTAGCAAATAAGATTTAAGAAAATACTTTTATGGTAAAACCATGTTACCCCCTAAAGCACAGTTGCAATCAAATTTGATTTTCCAACATTAGAATTAATGATCACTAATTGCATTGACTTTAAGGATTTCAGATGTGATTCCATTAAGTTTTCACATGGCAGCATTAATGCTAAATGGCACAAACTACTAAACAAATTTTGGTTTGTTTTTAGCACGATATTAGCTGAAATGGCGAGTGTAAGGGTAATTGGTAGTGACCCTGCTTTGTGAATGTGTGACTCATGAGAAAGTATCTTTCATTACAGTGCAACAAATGCTACATTAATTATAATTAAGGTAATATTTGTTCCTATTTGACCTCAGTTGTTTTTGTTCTTACATTTCTGTGTGACTGGTGATTGTTTGTGATGGCATCGTGATACGGTTATCTTTTTCCTTCCATTAGGCCTATATTCTACAGAATTTAAGGACAGTTACTATATGAAATACAGTTTCATATAGCCGTTTTCATAATGCTTGAGCTCATGTTAGCTTTATAATTTTAGCCAAGTTAGTGAACCTGGGATTTAATGAAAACATCAATCACATTGACTCTATTTAGGTTTATGTACTTATAAGCACCTTATGACTTATCAGTTGCTGCTTTCACTGGCATTTGTCATCAATGAGATCCAAACATGTGCAAAATATTGCTGCCATTTGATTTTGCCATACATCTGTAACGGGCCTTTTTGTCTTTCTAGAAAATATAAAAAAATGGTTAAATGGCAATTATGTTAATATTATCGTTTGCAACTTGATACAAACATGAGTAAGTCTAGATGTATAAAAGACATTGAAATTCCGAGATCAATGAACCAAAGAGGTTCCTTTATGAAATACACAGAAATTAAGTCATGTCAATTAACTCTTTATCTCTTTTCATGATAGTCTTGGACTTGTTTGCTTTATTTTCCTCATTTAACTGTAACCTCAAAGTCATCTTCAACCATAATAAATTGTTTATGAGTGGGTGAGGTAAGATTTTCTTCCATGCTTAATAATGTGACAGCAGGAGTAAAGCAATTTCTCTACTAGCCATTTCCCATGTGTACATGTTTGTATCTTTTAGCTTCTTAACAGAAATGAATGATTTTAGCTACTCTTTCTCTATAATGCTGCCTATTGTATAAAAAAATAGAGGCCCTGACTAGATGTATTTCATACTGTAGATATATTAAGTTAAAAGGAAGGCTTGCAGACTTTCAAACTGAAATTACTCTCCTGTAATAGACAAATGTGAGATGATCATGGGCAGTATATTGTGAATGCTAATGTTTGCTTCATCCATGCCAAATCAAATTCACATGATAAACCTTGTGAAGGCACAGCTACAGTAAAATTTTCATTCTTGCTGATGCAACCAAGATGCAACAATGTGTAACAACTAAGGAAACAGATAGCCTGATATAACAGTAACCCCTATGGAGACCCAACTAAAGTGCTTATCATACGGACAGTACTTTGTATAAACTAAATATTCACGACAAATGGTTGACGTGAATTTAGAAAACTGAATGAAACTTACATGAGGACAAAGTTAATATTACATGGAACACAAGGCACACCAACATTATTTTGTACAAAATAGGTATAATGAAAAATAAAACCTTAAAATAATGTGCTTTTTTTTTACATACACATATTTATACATTTATACATTAGACGTTCACAAATTCTCGATATGCAGCTATGATCTTCTTTACAGTCTTAAAAGATTACATTCCATAGCTGTAAAATGCATTACTACGGTAAGCTATGTTTGCTCCAGTGTTATTTACAAAGCATAAGAAAATCAGCTTTTGATAAACTGTATTGGCAAGCTAATATAGTTTTCATGATATGGAGGTGAACATATGCTATTGAGAAAAATAATTGATATTTTACGAAAAAAATATACAAGATGTCCCTCAACATATAAAAACATTAACCTAGAAAAATTATAGATACACAGCAATGAGTGATTCAATGTCTCATTGTCTGTAAGTGACAGGTCAAGTTTAGTCCTATTTTCCTTTTTTCTAAGTGTATCTCTTCCATTACTCGCTCCCTGCTGTTTTACAGCGCAGGGTGAATTCAATTACCTGTGCTTCTCTGTCAAGCTGAGAAATGGCCTTTATTTCTCTTGTAAAGTGTTGGCAACAATTTCGACTGGTTAAGCACAGCAATCCAAATACAAAATGATGAGGCTTTAAAAGTAATTAATTAATTGACTTGTGGCTATGCCAATAAGCATTTGGCAAAGTTTTCTAATATCAGAGCTGTATTTGACAAAAAGTCATTCAAAAAGTATATATATGGAACACAACTTCCAGTGGCAAATTAGATTTTAATGGTATCATAATGCAATGATAAAATAATTGTCCACAGTGCAGTAATATGTTTGTTGTACTGTTTACTCCTTTCTCTCAGCGCTTACTAAAGTCTGAATTAGAGAACATGTATTTACACGGGATATATTAAACTTATTCATTCATGCAATACCTTATTTAGCGTAGGGGGAGAACATGGTTTCTGTCACACCCTTACACCCCTTCTTTTTTAAATGAAAAAAGATTGCTGTACACTTTCATGTTGTTTTGATTGCTGCACAGATTTACTACCGCAATAGACATTAATCATGTGGGGGGCCCAGTGAAATTAAAAGGAAAGGCTCTCAGGTTTGTGTAGGAATCCTGCCAGGGTAAATATTATTGTCTGATTATTGTGATTACGCAAAACTGTCCAAGCTATTAGAAGAAAAAAAAGCCCCTCTGTTGATGTTTACAAAAGCAAAGATCACAGGAAGTCCAGAGTTTCCAAATTGTCATTTTAATGGTAACACTCAGATCTTGTGATGTGTCTTGAATTTGAATGGATTTCTTTCATTCATATTTAAGTCAAGTTCTGATTTATTTTTCAGAGTGAATCTGCCAGCTCTGTAATATAATGCCACTTCTCATGCTGCAGAACAGCTCTTCTGATGCCCTTGGTGCTGAGTGCCAGCGCATTCCCTATTGACTTTCACTCCTGAGGCAAGCAAAGGAGCAATTCTGAAAATCCTCAGTGAGGAGGGTCATGCGGGACAGAATACAGATCAGGGAAGCTCTTCTTCTCTTCACATTTGTCCTTCAAGAAAGGAGATAAAAAAAAAAAAACTTTAGTTTGCAACTTCCTTGTGTGACATTTATAAACGGGATTCTGGATGATAGAAATTACATAATGTTTGTGTATGTTTAGGAATTGTTATGATCCCTTCATCAGTTCCTCGATAGTCATGTGCCTGGTGCTATTTGTGACATGTTTAATTGCTCTGTCAATATGTAATCAGAGTTTGTGTAACACTTTGTTTTCCAGTTTGTCAAATTTTCACTAAGGTTATATATAGAATTTAGTCAGTCAATTATTTTTTTCTTGCAAAAAAACAATGATTTGCATTTTTTGTTTTGCAATTGTTTTTTGTTTTTACATACAAAAGAAAATCTAATCATACACGCAGTTTACTCTATTTTTTATTTTGTCTTTCAGGTCATTATCAATTCTCTCCAACTGTGAACATGCCCAAAGATGACACAGTAATGATCGAAGATGACGGTCCACCTTTGCTTCCAGCTAACCTCTCTATCAAGTCATCCACCAGTTCACATGATGACATGGGCTTTGTGGGAAAAGGAACTTTTCCTTGGAATCATGAGCTACCTGGTGAAAATTATTGGTAAGCAAAATGCCATTCTTACCTCAATAAGCCAGTTCAGCAGTAGAACTGTTCATTATTTACTTTTCAATAGATATAGATTTCCACTATGTGGAAAGGAACCGCCCCCCAAAAAACAAAAACAAATTAGTTATATATTTTGCTGGGAAATGATATGCCTACTTCTATGTAATTAAAACTTAACAATCTCAATTCGGCCAAAAAAAACTAAGATTCAAACCTGAACAATATCCAGTTCCTGCAACTTAGTGCTTTTTGTTTCACAGTGGTATGGAAATGAGTCATTTAGACTACCTCTCATAGCAAAACAGGAACTAATATGTTTATATCATGAATAGTATTATGACTAGTATACGGCAGAATTTATATTTTTGCTGTTTGAATGAGTATTAATCTCATTATCAGTATGGTGTGTGTGTGTCTTTCCGTGGTAAAGCCTTTGGGCATGCATACGTAGCAGCGGTCTGAATACTGATGAACTTTTTCTATTTTCTTCAATTTTTCATTCCAAATCATAATTTGCTTCCCCATTGTTAGCATGCATACCAGTACCGGTAGGGGATGTGGGTCAACCACAGTCCAGTACCATGGAAATGCTACTTTGTATTTTTAATTAAGCTTTTGTTGTGTGCCAGAAGTGTGTGTGTATGTATTGTACTGAGCTGTAGGAGCATCACCTTTGGCCTCCAGTTTTATTCTACCTTATCTCGTGGGAGAAGCCTATTCAAGGCCACATTTATATCTACAATGCCTACACAAAAGTGGTTGATGACCTGTTCATTCATTGTAATTCAGATCTTATCTTTTGGCCATTTTGTGTAGCAGAAATAATGGCAATTTTTACTTTTTTCATTTCATTCCTTTCATTTTCTTTTTTGAGGACAAATACTTCTTTGCTGGTTTATAAAAATGACAGCCTGGGTGATTTATTTGAGTGATTTCTACTTATTTTTTTACATCTGTTTTGCTGATTTAGATGCCAGCACAAAATTTGTTCACAAAGGTTAAAACTGGTTAAAACTGGTTGAATTTTCTAAAAAGCCAAATATTGCAAAGGCCTAGTAGTCCTTTGACTAGGAGAAGAACAGCCACTGTGAAAAGGGTAGAAATAAGATAGGAAAGGTGGTATAATAAATTTAAATAATCTCCTTGATTCCTATGATTATCATGGAGTATGTGGGATTGTTTAATGTTTGACGAAATGGTTAATTGTCAGGTTACTAATACAACTCATAAACATATTCATAACCATCTTTGGAGATTGGAGGCTTAATGTGGATGAATGAAACGGACAGAATTAAAGAGGAAAAGCATATAAAATCCATCAATTATACTCGACGTATATGGCACTGGGCCGTGGGAGCAGCCAGGAAACCCAGACCTTCAAGTCCCACAGCAGAATAATGTATTGTCTGGGACGCTTGCTCTCCAACACTCCATCCAAGGACAAAAAAAAGGGGTTACTCTGAACTGAAGCACAAACAACACTCAGGACCCGTCCCCTCACCTGAAGGCAGGGGGCTATCCACTGGGGTAAACCCCAATGTACAGACACTAAATCGGGGGGCAATGAAGCCACAAGTATGCCCACGCCGCATCAGCTCATTTATACCATAGAAATCTAAAAGTTTTCAACAGTGTACCAATGTTAATAACTTTTAGATTTTAATGATTTTGATTGGATAAAGTGTCAGACCTATTTACTTCACAAGTTTTATAGTTGAATTGATTTTCACATTTTCTCTGTTTATTTCCAACACATCCATTATTTAAATTTGTATTCTTTCATTTACAGATGCATTTAATTTTTATTTTCCCATTTGATGTTTTTATTCGGTTTTTACCCACAAGCCTTTTTATTGCCACTATCTTCTTTCTATCTTTTTCTCTCTGCTTCTTTCATTTTTCCTTAAGCATTTCTATATCAATATGTAGATAAGGTGGGTTATCCTTCAATCTGTCTTCAGGTGTCAGCTTCTCTACTATTTGTCAGTTGAAATGTGGGTGCAGGATCTGCATCTGCATCTGTCTGAATTGTTCTTTCACTGACATAAATACCTACAAGCAAAACAGATTCTGAAGGTTATGTGGGCAGTAAATATCAAGGATTATGAAACGTTGTGTTAGATTTTTTTTATTTTTACCTAAAGCAGTAGCTTAAACTAACTGCTCAATAACAAACAAACAAACAAACAAATTAGTTATTACAGTTACTTTTTGAAAAGCAAAAAATGCATTGTCAATTGAATGCCTATAAGTGTGTTTTTGACACAACAGAAACCCTGTACAAGTTACTCTGTATCCAGCTCTGTCCATTACAGTTTAGTTTTTCTAGCATCTATCTCTAACATACAAAAATGCAACAACTAACACTTCACTAATGTGAAATTGTACCTCTTTTCAAAGTAACTTTAGATTCTGAAGCAAATGGATGGTTCTGTCAGAAGAGAAAAATTGCTCACAGTCTCCACCCCTCAAAACTAGATGCTTTTAGGATCGGAATTTCAGTGGAAAAAGTGAAAAGAAGGACCACTGTGCACAAACCAAGATATATTTTTATCAAAGCTTGTCTGACACCTTACAATAATACCTCATATGGGACTTATATGTCATTCAAATACACACTATACCAACAAAAGATACTCCAAAATATGGTATTTACTTTGAGAACTTCCGATATACCATACTAACCACTGAATGAATTAATCATTATTATTTTTCTTGTTGGTCAGCTTAAATGCCACAACACAATCTATTCAATTTTAGGTTTCTAATATTTTTTTTCAGTTTCTTTGTTCTCCTTGGGTTTCTAGTGAACGGGGCAACCACCATGCATGTATGTATGTTATTAAGTTTGGCCCGAAGATTAATGGTTGTTTTGGAAGCAGAAATTCCATCTCACACCCATAGTCAAGAGACCAAGACTGACCTACTTCTTCTTGACATCTTTTGCTAGTCCATAATAGCTGTCAGTGGTTATAAAACATTGTTGTATCACAGCGGTTTTGAAGGCCTCCAATTAAAATCAAAGGGGTTGTATATATTAGAACTCTGTGCCTTTGCAACTGTGTGTAAAAGATGATGTACATATATACCAGCATTATCTTATACTTTGAAGTTCATATATATATATATATATATATATATATAGACAATCCCTAGGCTGCAGCTCAATGATCAACTTTGTTGTCGTTTCATCTGTGGACGCATGTCTTGGACACTAGGGTGAAGCATTCTGGCGGAGCTTTCCGCTGACCACTCCATGGTGGTGAGTTTGCTCCGATGGTGGGGGAGGATGCCGGTCAGGCCAGGCAAGCCCAAATGCATTGTGAGGGCCAGCTGGGAGCGCCTGGCAGAGTACCCTGTAGGACCGAGCTTAACTCCAACCTAGTGGGCCATGTTCTGCACCTCCATTGTTGAGGGGGCTTCCCAGAGCTGCTGTCATAGGGTTCTCGGTGCCTGTCGGGGCAGTAACCCTCGAACCTGCTGGTGGACACTGGCGGTGAGGGATGCTGTCAGGCTGAAGGAGTCATATCGGGCCTTCCTGACCTGTGGGATTCCAGAGGCAGCTGATGGGTATTGCCAGTCCAAGTCCAAGAATTTCTGCAGCCAAAGTGTTCAAGGTGTCCGTCTTTGTGACCTTAGGATTGCATCTCTGCTTTTCGCAGATGATGTGGTCCTATTGGCTTCATCAAGTCGTGGTCTACAGCTCTCGCTGGAGCAGTTTGCAGCTGGGTTGGGGATAAGTGCCTCCCGGTCCGAGACCATGGTTTTTCAAAGGGTAGAGTGCCTCCTCCGGGTTGGGGGGGGATGTTCTTCCCCAAGTGGAGGAGTTCAAGTACGTTGATGTCTTGTTCACGACGCGGATAAAATGGAGCGGGAGATGGACAGGCGGATCGGTGTGGCGTTGGAAGTAATGTGGGCGCTGTACCAGTCTATCGTGATGAAGAGAGAGCTGAGCTTAAAAGAGTCATGAACTATAGTCATGAACTCTGGGTAGTGATCAAAAGAACGAGATTGCGGATACAACCAGACAAAATTGGTTTCCTCCGCAGGGTGGCTGGGCTCTCCCTTAGAGATAGGACGAGAAGCTCGGCCATCGGGGAGGATGGTGTCTCCGAATGCCTCTCATGCCCAAGCTTTTGCCTCAGCAAACACAGCTATATAACGCTTGGACTGCCCATACCCATCAGCTGCTTCTGAAGTCCCACAGACCAAAAAGACCCAATATAACTCTTCCTTTAGCCTGAATCCAGCGGGGTTGAGGGTTACCACCATGACAGGCACCAATAACCTTGCTACCACACTTCAGGGAAGCTGCTTCGGCAATGTAGGCAAGGATCATGGCCCACTCTGACAAATTCATGAACCAGATACCCCTATACTTAAAGGCTTCCACATTCCCAACCTGAAATGACTGTTGCACTTTTTTTGGGTTATGTACCATAGACTCAGATTTAGAAGACCTTCCTTTTATGCCAGACTTTTCAATGCTATAAACCATTCCACTGTGATCAGAATGTCTATGCACTGCTAAATATGTGGGCATAATAGGAGTACATCAATATCTCCTGAGGTACTTTCTCGAATGATGTACCCTAAATGGCTAATAACTAGACCGAAAGGCACATGTTTGTACTTTTAGAACTTCTGAGAGATACAATTATGTCCCCAAGTAAGAAATTGAAAACCTACAAGGGTACAATAGCAGGGCCTTTGAGAATACTCTCCTAGTGACAAGTCTTTGACCCCTGACTTACAGTTAGATGCTTTCTTTTCCGGGAGTATATAGGGCTGGTGCATAGAATAATTCTAATAACCAATAGAAATAAGTGTAAAAAAGTGTAAAAAAATATTGGGTTGATCAAATAGCTTATTTTTCTGAGTTGAAAGGGACTGAGACAGAAGAGAAGTTTCATCCAGAGAACTGAAATTTAGATTAGAGAGAAAATGAATGGACAGTTGGAGGGTTTTGTCAGATAGAAAGGTTGAGAACTTGACTCTCTGTCTTTCTGAGATGTCACACGTGGAACATAATTTCCCGTGCAGCTCCGACACAGCCTGTCAACCAGCAAGAATAGAAAAAACTCAGAACAAACATGCATACAGCTATTTTTCACAATCACAAATACACACAACCACTCTCAGTCTCGGGAGTGTTTAAATACACATTGGCTGGTAAACAATTTCACAAATTAACATATAAAGTGGAAAAGGTCCTGAAAGACATGAACAAACAAACTTTGCAGGCAGACTTCATACTTCACTTAACTCCCTAATAGTCTCCGTCATCAGCAACGTAACTATGAATCTCTAGAATCGCAATTGCTTTAATAAATACATGTTGTTTTACTTACATCAGGCTATCAGCATAATTACGTGCTTCCAGCTCCTGAATTGCACATACATTTGACGTGTATTTGCAATGCAAACATGTACACATTATTTCAGAAATCCATATTGGACGGTAACAATCTAATTGCCGGGCAGTAGACATGCATATGTTTCCCATTATGTCTACACAAAGCAGGGAACTTGTCTGTCATCAGACAGACAAGTTTTAATAGATCTTGTTCTTGTCCTCCCTTTCTCTCCAAAAGTTTATCCAATTGAAAGCAAATTGTAGAGTATTACATGTGAAACTGCAATTTTTATGTCACTGATGGAACCATTTAATTTCAGTGTTCATGACCCCATTTATTTTACCTGATCGTGCTTAGAAACTCTTGAATATTTGCTGGGTCTGGACAAAGAAACTATTTACCTATTTTGTTTTTTTGTCTAAAACATTTGGTCATTCACAGTCCACAGATGCACCTCAGTGTAAAATTTACCCAGATAGATTTTTAAATTTGAAGCCAGCTGTAAGCTTTCCAGACCAGCTGGGAATTCATCCCGCTAGAGTAATCCTCACAAACCTCTAAAAAGTAGATCTCAGATGTTCCTGCACTTGATATTGTTTGAAATCTTGGTCCAATTCTTCTTAAACAAATGTTAAGAATATTTAATTTTTCTATAGAAGTTGTTCACTTTGAGGTGAACTAATCAGAGTTGTTTGTCATGTGATTTGGAGATGAGGAAGAAGGAAACACATTAAAAGAATTGTGAGCACAGAGGGCCCTCTTACTAAATGAAATGTATTGCAAGATGTAAATAGGAGCATGTGGATTTAAAAGGCAAGTTCAAGATCTGGATTTGTCTGTAAGCAATGCCCAGCTATGGTAATTTTAGATGATGGACAAATCTAGGTGGGGAACACAGCTTTTGTTCTGCTCAGAGCTGGAACATGCTTTCAAAGGCTGCTTAAAGAACAACATACATTGACATGTATATGGGACCCTCTGTTAAAAATACCCCATTATTATGTACATGATAGATGGTGTGAACAACAAGCTACTGTTTACTTCTGAATGATCAATACTTTCCCTTATTTAGTGTGCGAAAGGTGGTATTCCTCACTGTGATCAACTGTCGTCAAGTCCATACATGTATGTAAATTTTTCTGATGATCGTTGTGCTTTTTGAAATGTTAACAGAGATTATAAAAACTGTATTTCTTTTCTAAGGATTATTCCTTGTTAAATTTGTGCATATCTTTGTACAACTTTGTACAACTATCTTTGTACAACTACAATTTTTGGCCAATTCATTTAATTTTCATAAAAGTGCATTTACAAATGATAAAATTACATTTTTCCCGATAGATAACACTAACAGGACATCATTTTCTGATTTTTCTAATTGTAATTAGTTAATAGATTTATAGAGGTAAGAAAAAGTATACAAGGTAATGTAATTAATGTAATTTAATGTTGCCCAGATGGTATTGGTTGAATCTCTCTCAGTTGTTCAGACTGTTGCCACAGATACTTAGACATCTGAATAGACTGAATATTCAATTATACCATACAAATAAAATCATATAAGTATATATATATATATATATATATATATAATGTTAATTTAGCAAATGCTCAAAGAAACTGCATATTTCCTATTATGAACTTACAACACAGTCACTTACAACACCACACATACCGGCTTCCTCCCACAGTCCAAAAACCTGCATGTTAGGTTGGTTGGAAATTCCAAATAGGAGTGAATGTGAGTGTGTGTGGTTGTATTTTCGTGTATGTCTTGTATGTGGCCCTGCAATGGACTGGCCCATGGTCCAGGGTGTACCCTGCCTCTTGCCCGTTGACCACTCGGATAGGCTCCAGTTCTACCCGCGACCCCATTAGGGAATAAGCGGTAAAGATAATGGATGGGATGGGTGGAACTTACAACATAGATTGCTCTCCAGTTTTTCTGGCCTCTTGGCAGTACTAAAACAGAAGAATATTCATCAACTCTGTACCTAAATTACTGATCATGCTCTCACCTGCTTACCTCTTACTTTGGTAGTGCTGTCTGTGTTCCACTGGTTCAGAAACAAGAGTAAATCCAATCAAAATGACAGTATGTCCTTTCTTGCTCATACTATCTCAGTCATGTTCTAACAAATTACATTTTCAGAGTTAGGAAAATCTAGGGCAGGAAGGATTTCTTGGCTTGGAATGATAAGAGAAAAAAAGGCAAAGGGTGATGAATAAATGCACTATGCGTCTGACATTTCATTCCTCTCTTCCTCTAACTCCCTCTAAATATGTGTCATATAGAGTTGGTGTTGTGAGGTAGGCTTCATTCAGGTTGTCAGGTATAGTTGATGGAAAACTGACAGGTCAATCCCTGCTCCTAAGTGATATGAAGCAGCTTATTTCTCAAATAATGTTGACACCCTAGGTACAAATTATTTTCATTTAAACAAGTGCCACAGTTCCTCTAAGTCTAAGGCATCTTTTCCAAACCTAATTTACAAGTGCTAGTGTCCTCATCAATAACCTTAGATTCTTAGGCGGAAGTATTTAATCATAGATATTTATTAATTTGAAATGTATTCATTAAATAAAATATTGTCATGGTATAGAGTAATAGTATGGATTTACAACCTAAACTTGCACAACGAGAGTCCCATTCTCAAACTATGCATACATATTTGAGCAATGATGTGATGATGTGTTGTGTGGGTTAAGATAAATTTTTGATATTTCTCAATCTTAAAAGTCGATTGACCCATGGCCAAAACATAAGTCGTTAATGAAATAATTGTATTGTTTTTTTTGGGGGGGGTTGTATTGTCAAAGCAAAGATTCACTGTCATTATGATGATGCATGTCCTTTTCTCCCTTTCTGATTTCTTTTTACAACACTGTAGCCCGCTAAGTCCAGATGAAGACCCCGATGTTGAATTCCAGAGAGAAGGCTTTGGCCGCCAAAGTATGTCAGAAAAGCGCATCAAGCAGTATGAAAATGCTGCTCAGCTTGAGATAATCAAGTCCCGCAAGTCCAAAAGCATGGATCTAGGTAAGTTTTTCATGTCCAAAACAGTTAAAGTTCTAGTGCAAAGAATTTAAGGATAAAATTAATATGGTAATTGTGCTCTTGAAGGCTGCCATGTTGCATAACCACAGCTTCATTTAATTTCACTATATTTTTTGGTTTTGTATTTCAGTAATCGCTGTAGTTTCTCTGATTTGCTTCAGTGGCACTGTGGCAACATGTAGGGATTTAGTTAAGTGAAATCTTTACAAAAGAAGTGTGCATTTAGTGCATTTAGTGCTGAATATATATATATATATATATATATATGCTTATATAATCTCTTATATACTGTATGTTTATATATGCTTTTCAACCGTATATTCTGTCCATTATTTCATCTTCTTTACAAAGGGAGCAACAAGACAAACGCTGGAAAAACAATTTACGAAAAAGTAGACTGAAGGCTGTTTAATACATTTTTCTTCATAATTTGTTGACCATAGAAATGTTTTCCATTATGTTCTGTTTAAAAAATGTAAATCGATACTAAGGAAAACAGGAAACACTTAGACTGTACAGGATACTGAGATAACACTGCGATGGCGTTGCAATCAGTGTAAATGGATATTCTATCAATGGATTGTATCTGAAAGCTTCTTGATTATTTCATTTTTTCAAGATCTGATCAGTTCTAAATATCAGTGTTAATTTCTTCAAAAGAAACTTGACGATCTTCACGTAAGATTGTTCCTTTTCTCATGTAACTGCATTAATAATCTTCAGTTAATGTTTTATTTAATTTAGTTTATCTTTTATTTTAGTTATCCAGATACTTCCATTCATATGGGTCTCTCATTTGATGTGTTTCGATATAGCATTATCTTATCTGTATGTATTTTGGTAAAGTAGCATACAGAAGTTTCACCTTGTTTTTAACGCTTTGATTCTAAAATATAATAGAATATTCACAAGAAATCTTTTTCTGCAAATTGGATTAGTCACTAGTTATTTTTCTCAGAACATTTCAGCATAGCCTCCCTAATGATATCTGTAACTGTACCTCTTTACTCTGAGGCCTAATTATTTTTTTAAATTATGCTGAACTGATAAGACACCCTGCAGTTAATTCCCATTAATATAGGAAACTAGGGTGAGTCAGAGAAGAACATTTACAAAATAGATGTAAGGTCACATGGCTGAAGGCAACACATTATCATATTCCAGATAATTCAGAGTCTTTCACAAGGTGGAAGATCTTTTCCAGTTAAATCTCCTAATCTTTCCTTAATGTACCTATTCTGTTTAATTTTGTTTGGCACATGCTCAGTAAAAACAATTGTACGAACAAAACATCCTTGTTTATGTTCTTTAATGTATCAAATGAGATTAACTGCAGAACAGCAGTTGGTATGCAACCTTTAAAAGAGCACTTCTTTTACACAGTCATCATTTCATCTGGGTCTATGGGTCAATAAGAGAACTCAAAAAGTCCCATTCTCTTATTTTACCCAGCTAATACTCAGCAATTAAAACACTGGTTATCTTGGCACCTTTAAATACGTGTAGCAAAGAGTGCTGAGGTAATTGCAGCACCATCAACTAGAAAATGGAGTTTAATGGCATTGAATGGAGACTTGGCAACAACCTGTGCTACTGTGTGCAATCTGATTCCCAAATAATACAAGACAGTGCTCATTAGATTTATGGGTGAGTAGATAACTAAAGAGAGCCTAATAATGAGTAGCACTTTCAATAGATAGAATTTAATTTCCAGTTGACCTCACACCAGCTCTTTGCAATTAATCCATTAATTGTTAAGATATTATTAACTTTGGTTTATGTATATTAAAGTGTGTTCAATCCATCCATCCATCCATTTTCTTAACCGCTTATTCCCTAATGGGGTCGCTTGGTGTTCAATCCATTAACAAGAACTTATAAATAAATAGGGCCTCAAGCATTTATATTAAATAAACATGCCCGAAAATACATTATTCCTAGAATGCCTGTCCAAAATGCACAATGCTTTATGTCTTATGGTAACAGAGATGAAGTCCAACTCCTGTGATACTCTCATCTAACACCAATTTAGGGTTTTAATTTATATTTGAGGGTACGATGGATGGATGGATGGATGGATTGATGGATTAGAATGTTTGTCCAGAAATGTATGACTGCCATCTAAAAATATTTTCTTTTCATAGTGTTAAAGGATTCTATTAAAATATAATAAATATATCTAGAGTTGTCTTGAAGTGTCGGATACTGTGACACTTAGAATAGGTCCTTTTGGCCCTGTGGGTGGGGAGGTGAAGTTGTATCACACTTGCCATTATATTTCATCACTGTTTTGTTTAAGAGTCAAATTTAAACTTCAGAATCATAAACGTTTTCCTACTATACTTTTACCATATGAAAGATAGGGTGGAAGTGTTTGCAAAAATACTGACATAGTTGTCCACTTTTAAGGGGACATAGATGTGAATTCCAGAATGTAGGTCTTCTTTGGAGAACACAAAATTATATCAAGCTGACCAGTGTCCCTAATGGCTTCATTTACTTATCAAATTTTGAGCGTCAATTCCATCTCAGTCTTTTGCTCATCTAGAGATAGTTGTCAGCCTCGGCAATAGCCAATAGGCTCTATTTGTTTAGCAAAAGATGTGCAAAATGTGCAGCAATCATGAGATTTCAACCTTAAGTTCAAGCAATGTGTTGCTTGAAAGAAGTTGCTTGAACTATTTTGCTCAGATATATGATGTCATAGATGAATCAGAGATGCCTCACTTCCATTTGGATATCTGCACATGGCCTTCCTCGAACAACCTTGGAGGCTATTTCAGAATAATTACCCTCTTATCACCCTGCTTAAATCCCTTAGTCTTTGAATAAATTATGTGTAATCGAACCCCTTTCCTGTACACAGATCTTTTTTTTCTCAATAATAGCTTGTAAGCATAGTTTTAGCTTGTCAAATTATGCTATTGGCTCAAGTCTTAGTAAGAATCCTGATTTATTCATGGAATTGCCATATCTTCATCAGTACCGGTTAAAACTTTATTGCAATGGCTCATCTCCTGTCAATATAATTGGTTCAAACAATTTATTTTTTTTGTCTTTCTTTTTCATTTTTTAATAATTTCATTTTGATGATGTTCATTTCTCCTTCAGACGTGTTGGGATTGACAAACTCATATCAGGATGCAAAAGGGTAAAAAATCATTTTCTTCCCTCTTGAATAAGAAAGAGATGAAGAGCAGAACATTGAGGTTTCTGTTGTGTGATAGGAATCACATAATAGACTGGCATATAGAGAGCTGTCCGTCAAACTCTCCCAAGAGAGCCAGGGCTGCCGATGATGAAAATAAAGAGGTTTGAGGGAGTTGGATCTATGGGCAGCCTCTCTCGCTTTGCTCAATTTACCCAATCTCTTTGTCTCTGTGCTTCTCTCAGTCATTCACCTTGGTGACTAGAAACAATGATGACTGGGATTGCTGCACAGAATACCAAGTACAAAGATAATCTCCTGTTTCCGACTACAGCAAATGTAATTTGTGTTCGCATGAGTTGCTTCTTCCCATAGAACTCCAACTTGCAACCCTTGTCTGCTAACCCTGGATTTTGAGTTTTCAATCTCTACTAACTATACCCTTAAGTTTTAAACAAAATCTAATTTACATGCCATTTCTGCTGGGGTGATTGAGTTATACTCTCAATGTTTAAAACACCCCCATCAGTTTTCTGTCAAGCTGTATCTGCACTTACACAGTTATAATGAATATTTACCTCAGACTATCTTCTCTTGTCCTTCAAAGTATGGAACTGCACTTTCTGTGGAAATTAGTCACATTCATTTTTATTTGCTTTTTCAGTATGAAAGCGTCCATAATCTTCTGGCACTGAAATTTGTCAATGTCCAACTCCCCAAGTATTAGTAGGAGTAAAAAGATCCTGTAGTATTTGTAGCATAGAGTAAATGTTTTACTTTTTTAGCAGTTTTTACAGTTAATGATTTTCTGAGGGCAAACATATTAGCTTATTTGTGCTAAATTTGATTGAGAATTACAGTATTAGTGTTCCTATTTATTAAATTGCCTGTTGATGATTCATATCAGTTTCTCTAAAAACTGAGAGGTTTTGTTTATGTTGACATCAAGGAAGGGGATTATGGTCTATTATATGTTAGAATGCCCACAAGTGTGGAAACCCAACAACACTGACTACCAACTGATAGCAACAGTTGCAAGTAGTTGTCTTTATTGTGCGTGGTTCAGCTGTGAAATCTAAACATGGTTGTTATTGGATTAAGAAGAGATGGGCCAGAGAAACCAGTCAAGCAGCAATAGGTCAGTAACAATAGAGACCTTCACAGAGATGTTATTTTATCCACCCTCAACAGTCATGCACTTGATGTTCCCTCTCATGCTGTGGCTCTGTAGATCCTTGAATTTTTTCCAAAAAAAGAAAGACATTTTTTTTTAATCTATGGGTCACAAACATTTGGGGATTTTTGTTTTAGGAGACAAGATCATATAACGACTTTTTCTGTTGAAAACTAACCTAGGTATTATTAGGAGCATTTCTATGAAACACCCAAAGATACAATTCGAAGTTATAGAAAAAGCATAAACAAATATCTCGTAAATGTGGTCTGTATTTTTAGTGTAATGGGATTTGAAGAGACATGGTGCTTCTTTGCATGAATTCCATCAAGATGTGCTATACTCTCTTAAGTTTTTGAAGGCTCTAAGTTCATCCATCCATCAGTTGACTACTTCAGATGTGTACATACAGTTTCCCATACATATTTATAGAAAATATGTTTTTTGTTATGTTAGACAGTACCTCAATTTATGTGAAGTCAAAAGAGGAAAGAAAATCAACCATGGTGTTTTTTTACCAATTGGTGTATAAGGTAAGACTTCCTACTGGCTGAGAGTTGGTCCCTGAGAAAATAGAACACCTATACTAGAGTCTTGATCTGTTTGAATAACCTAAAAAAACATTTTTTCAAGCATTGGAAAAACAATTGAAACTGTCTTGGTTGGGTTTGACTGTAGAGGAGTTTGAATGTTAAACATTCAGTTTATTTTTTATCACAGCGGTTTAGGCAGCCCATCTATAAGCACAATTAATTTCTTATTAAACCACCATTCTTTCTTGTTCACAGTTTACTTAGCCTAACTATTTATTTTATAAATTATTGCACGTTTTTAAACATTGATGAGGCACCATATCAGTGGTATCCAATACAAACATTCATATATAATTACATTCCCTTTGCCATGCTCTTATCTATTAATACAACCTGCTGGCCTTAGTACACACAACGATTACATTAAGATTATGTATTTGGGTTACTTATATCATAATATGTATGACATACCTATCCAGGGTGTGTCGTGCCTCTCACCCAAACTCAGCTAAGAAAAAGGCTTTGGCCTTCTCACTTCCCTGAATTGCCTGAAGTGAACAAGAAAATCGGATATATGATGAATGCTTTATAATTTTATTATTTGACACATTTCACTTTTTCCTTAGGTTCTGCAGAGCAAGAAGTTGGACCGTTACAGGGTCAGAAAAGGTCAAGTTCCCTTGAGAGTCTTCAGGCGGCTGTTACCGAAACATCACAGAAAGTTGAGATAGATGCCCACATGCTGCACTCACGTATCATAAGGGGACGTGGCTGCAATGAAAGCTTTCGAGCAGCAATTGACAAATCATACGAGAAATCTTATCTCAAGAGGGAACAGAACAGCACTGAGACATGTGAGTATTAAACAGTGAGCTTATGCACGACGCATGCTGAGGCGAAATCCAAGAGACTGTCAACATGTTTTGTCATATTTTTCAAAATGCACTGACATGTTTTAAACAAAGAACACTTGCTGAAAATATCTGCTGTTAACTTATATCAACAGGGTTTCAACATGAGAAATGCTATTTAGATCTGTGCCAGTATTTTTTAGCTTTAGTTTTTTACTGTTCAACTTTGTTTTCCTGTGTTCCTTTCCGAAATGGAAACCGGAATAACTTAATATTTATATGAAACTACAAAGACAGAAAGAAAAAATGTTTGACAAGCCTGCTGCCTTCCTTTTGAGTGAATATATCTTCACTTGTTTGATGGCACCAAACATGCTACAGGGATAGAAAGACAGCAATCTTACATTTTCTGACAGGTAATAACACTTCACCACCACAAGAGTAATCACTTGATATGAATTTCCTTGTGCCATTAAAGAATTCCATTAAATGAGCTCAGGAACATTTGAAAAAGAGGGAATCATTTGCCGTAAATGCTTTGTTCTCATAAACTTTGCCGCCAAGCTTCTAAATACAGTCTTATCTCTGCAAAGAAAAATGGGAAAAGCAACCGATTTCGCCTGCCTCAGTATATTGCATTCTCCCCATGATATTCAAATAACTCTGTTTTTCAATTTAGATAAAAGCAGCCAGCCTCTGCTCGTCACTGAGGTTAATAGTCAAAGTTGACAGATAAGACCCTGCCTTCTACTGCTCCCCGACTTTTATTTACATAAAATAAGAAAGTGGCATCACGTAAAGAAAATGTGGCCCAACAAGATATCCTACTGGGTGAAATTCACTTTCCTTGTGCTACTTTGTTTTTTATTGTTTGAAGAAATAAGAAAGAAAAAACAAAATGATCTCTCTGGTGCAAAAATCCCTTTTTTTATGTTCTAGAATAGGACTGAACACGTTACCTGTCTGTCAGTGGCAGGCCATCTTGGATTCCTTCAATTATTAAAGCAGGACATTTTAATGGTAGACATTGAGAAAAGTGACAAAATATTTCATGTGGTTTTCTGTCTCTACAAATTGCCTTTGAATCTCTGACACTTTCATCAAATCTATCTTCTGTCATTTGAGATTGTCATCCTATTCCTTTGGAGTTCAATCAAATTATTATAGATGGCTGCACCTTTTCATCATTTTTTTAGTTAATATTTTATTTTATTTGAAACAACCAAATTCAATAAAAACAGGAGGAATTCTGCCTTCTGAGAGTTTCTAGATTACAATGTTTTACTATTTCTGCAGCTCAGCATCATTAACCAAAAGCAACATTAGCACGACTGTTAATCTAGTTCATTTGAATAACCAGATATATATTGCAGTTGCTATTCATTGCATATGTTTTTAAAGGCGTAATGAGAAGTCAGGATATTGTGTGATAACAGTGTTACCGATCCAGAACCAATTTCCAAATTTGTGCAGGTGGAGAAATTGATGAAAGGGTCCCTTTGGATAAATTAATAGCATACCTAAGTTTTTGCCATTTACTGGTTCACGTTGACTTTTCATTTCTTTTTTTCTTTTTTCCCCCTTTTTTTTCCCTTTCACTTTTCATTTTTGTAATTTATCTTTCAGATGGAAACTCCATCTCCAAGAAAACGATTCATGCAATGTTTATACAGCCATACCTCCCTTTTGAAGTTTGCCTCATCCTGTATTCGAATATTCATTTTTGTCTCGCATTCTAATTTCTTCACGATAAGTCTTTCTCTATCCTCCATTAAAGACATAGCCAGAGCAAGACATAAGAGTATAATCAAATGTAATCTGAATTACTTTTACATGTTAGCTACATTATAACAACATCGTACATTCTGTCTATATTGAAGGTTACAGTGGGTATAGGAGCCCAGCATGTTTGCCATTATGATGCCCCCTTTAAAAATGCTTGTCTATTTATCTGTAGTGACCAGCTAATTGTATTTCTCAACATTGGTTCTGATTAAATTCCACGGAAACTTTGAGTTCAATCAACCCTCCTTTGATCAACCCACCCTCCACCATGATAATAAGAATATGAATATCAATACACTCTGTAGTTAACAGGAGTGGAAGTCCTCATGTAATCTTTGTGAAATGTACACTTTCACAGTTGAAATAACTCCAGGCTCTCAGCTAAGTGAAAATATGTTCAAATGAATTCTATTCTCAGTGGGTGCGCAATGTAAATATATTCTGCTCTAATGAGGCGAGCGAATTCAGTGTGTTTTGTTCAAAGCTGCTATACCTTCTGGGATAAAGCTTTTTATGGTAGCAAAAAGTGAAGCTATGCTCTTTCGTAATATGAGAGTGTTGTTTGTGGACTTCAAATGCAACTTCGGTCATCCACGGAAATCTAACTGAAAGTTATTGACTTGTGTTTTATTTACCTTTCCTCGCCTCTGTTTGTAATATGCTTGTATTTTTTTTTCTTTTGTATATATACCTAACATTTTATCTTAATTTAATTCTTCACTCCAGTGGATGAGGATACGGAGGGAAGCTCCCGATCAGGGCGTGAATCTATGTCCACTAGCGGCGATCTCAGTGTTGGTGCTGGGCTGACTGGCAACCTCTCCATAGATGATAGTGCAAGAAATGGTGCCAAGCCTGGATTGAAGGAAAAGCAGAAAATGGAACGGGAGAAATACAAGGACAAAAACAAAAGCAAGAAGAATGTGCTGAAGGGCCTGGGAGAAATATTCAGGTAGGAATAAGACACACGCACACACAAAGACACATTCACCAATGATCATACAGATTTTAAATTAATTCTCTGGTTGTCAACCTTGTGAGGTGGAGTAAAAGAGGGATGGTTATCGACCTCAAGAGCCTCTGGCACTTTAGAACCAGATTATTCTTAATAAGGGCAACATGTTTTATTCATAATCCCGTGTGTGCACCTCCTATCCAAACACGCTGAGCATTTGTTAACCAGCAGACAATGTTCATGGCGCATACAAGTGTAAATTGGGAAGCTGAGATGTGGCTTGGGGAATAAAAGACCTTTTGAGATGTTAAAATCGACTCAAAATCTGTTAGGAATTGTTGTCTGTTGCTTGAGTTTACACCAAATGTCTCAACGTGTTTCAAGATTTACGAAGACTTGATCTTTCTCTCAAAAGACTTTACTTATTAATTATTTTAAGAGGAATATATTGATCCATCAGCGATAGCTAATCCATCCAATCGGGGGTTGCGATAATAGCCTGGCCCGCGTGCCATTGGGCAAATGGTGAGTAAGCAAAGGACAGATCAAGAAAAGATCATTACAAGTTAAACTGACTATTCTTTAATAAATTTACATTGCACTGTTGAAAAGAAAACTCGATTACCCATAAAAAGCACATGAACATCACATTCAAGTTATGAACTTAAAGCTTAAAACTTAAAGCTTTGAAGATAAAGTGCTAACTTACCCACTTCAAGCAAAAGAGGTTTCTTAACAGTGTTTTGAATCAGCAACACTGCTGCTGTCAAAGCTTTATGTGAACTTGGAGCTCTAATTACAATATGTCATTTTTTAGAATTGTTCTTATCCTTTATAGTTATAGAATTGTTTCTTTAAGACTAATACTTCCTTCGCTTCCATTTAAACAGGCAAAAAACAAATACTCTTCGCTGAACATTTTTGATCAAACCATAGTTTGTATAGACATTGATAGCAGAAACGTGTATTGACTTGGTGAAAACATCTTGCAGGTTTACATTCAGTATTACTGCTATGAGGAAATTACAGAGGCAGTCACATTACTATTTAAATCCTGTACATATTGAAATATGGCATAAAGTTACAGATGAGGCAGTGTGAGCTGCTATCATACCGTAAGTTGTTTTCATGTGGATTAGTTTAATGGGATTAGGTAGCATATCATGGCGCTCAGCTCAGTCCTGAACAATAAAGACGACAAGTGTGTTTTGAAGTCACAATTGAGGACTATGTGTGATGTCCTCATCTTTCGTTATTTTCACTTTTTTACACGTATTTTTCCCCCTTTTTTTGTAATTTAGCACTATTCTCTTTTGATCCATACATAAGGAAGGCATTTCATAGACTTACATTCTGATTAACGTGTGTTGACATTTTAGAAAAAGAACTAAAAGATCTGTGGGGAAAATAATAATAAAAAATCTAATTTTAAGCCACGGATTTAACACCATGACAAGCAGTCAGTAACATCTGCAAACATTTATTCGAATAACCATGTGCTTGGCCCAGTAGAAGTCTACTGGCAGTTTGAGTTAAACACGTGGGCCCTGTGCGTGCCTTCTTGGCCTTAGCATCATTCTTCATTATCTTTGAGTGTCACTGGCACTTAAGGGTTGGCACGCTGCAGGCCTCACTGACAATCTCCCACTATGCATTCAATGCCAGGTCCTGTGCCTCCTGAGTGCAACAAGGCTACCAGGTGAATCATTGTTGTATCTGTGTTTCACAACCTCTCTCTTGCTTTTTTCTCAAAAAAGGATTCCTCAGTTTTAAACGTTAATACCATGAAAAACGGTTTGCCATGCTGTGTTCTTATTTTTCTCTTCCGATTTTCTTGCAGTTTCACTCAAAGTTTGTAAAGGTCAGACATGATAATGAACTGAGATGAAAATGAATGTGTCTCACCAGATACAATAACAAACATCAAATTATGTCAAATGCCAAGCAGTCAGATGGGAAGGAAAACAAAGTGCTGTGTGGTCCTTTTTCAGCCAATGTTGCAAAAGTTTGAACAAGTTTCAGAGTGGTATCATTCTTACTGTCCATGACAAATGGGTGGACTGAGATTAGTAGAATACTCAATCTTCAGGTGGCATTAAATTAAGAAGATGATGATTAAGAGTTTTCCAATACAAAGGTCAACTTCTGGCTCCCCAAGTCTCATGTCAAACTGCACATTGGTATCTGAATGACTGTAAGACTGTGGCTACAAATGAACTGTATAGGTAGTGTAAAAGCTCTTTTAGTGGTCAGCAAAACTAGAAAAGCGCTTTTTCAGTACAGTCTATGATACGTCATGGACAGAATCTTTATCAGTAAATATCTCATGATACTTTTTTTAAAATCATGAAATCAAAACATCAAAAAAGGCATCCTGTAAAGTATGTTCTTTGTACTACACAGCTTCCTGGCTTTCACCAGCATAAAATGGCCTCTAACTTTTTCTGCATTCCTCACAGATGCAAGTCTCACGTACACATTTACTCTCTTAGGAGATTTCAAGGAGTTTGCAGTGCAGTGTGATTTGAGCTCATTTGCATGCAGGTCTTTAGATAGCCTGATGAACGTGCTGTGCATGTCGTCTTAATGGACAGCCTGATTGGGTGTGTATTAGCATCTGAACTGGGGAGAGGATTGCCTAATATAGTGAGCAAGAGGACCAATAGAGGGAGAACATTTGAAATAAATACAGTGATTGCAAGAATGACTGAGAGTGTGCATGATGGAAAGAAACAGGATCCACATTATGGGAAAACTGCAGAGAATACATTTTTTATTGGATAAGATTCTTAAGCATGGCCAAAGGGCTCTGATTGCATTCCAGCAGACAATGATGTCTGACTCAATCTGCAGGACTTCAGTCAACTTGCAAAATGAGGGGTATTGTTTATCAGCTTTGTGACTTACTTACCCGTACAACATATGGTGATGGTATTGTGTGTATACAAAAAACAAAAAAAAATCTACAGAAACCAACGAAAATATATAAAATAAATACCTGGATTGATTTTTTCTTTGTGAGATGGAGAAATATCAGAAAAAAATACTTTTTTTGTTTATATGTGTGTGAAAATTATAATTCCTTGTTCTGATTTCTAGACAATAGAATATGGAGTCTCATTGAAAAAACAAGTATTTATTTTCTCACAAAAGACAAACAGAGACATCTCCTGACTATTTCCCCTAAACCATTCTTTTACTATTGACAATATAAGTTAAGGTAATCTGAAACATTCCGATTTTAAATCAAATGTAGTAATATGTTAATATATATTTAATACATTCAAAGTTGATAACTAAATTTCCATGTAGTTTTTACTTTTATGAACTAAACTTAGATATTGTCATCAGACTAATCAAATCCCGCATTTGGAAATCTCTTTGTTGCAGCTGGTTTTAGATTCCTATGGGTGTTAATAACGAATATTTCACAGATGTTGAGAAAATGTATCAACTATTATAGAAACGGAAATTTGCTTTTTTTGTAAATCATTTCAGGTAAGTTTGTTGGAGTATACACAGAAATTATTAATTTATTATTGTATTATTAATTATGATCATCTCTCTAGATATTATGTGTATCTTGTGTGGCTGTTGATCACATTGACAGCTGGATTTAAAACCATGAAATATGCATTTGAACATGTCAATTATGTTGTTTGAAATGGAAAATGTGTGATTCATAGGATTGTTTATTTATTAATATGCATATTATTTAAATTTAATGCCCATATTTTATGCATTTCCTGTATATCCAATTCATCAAATAGTATATCAAATCAGTAGATCAATATTTATCTGTTGCTTTTAGCCTTTGTATGTTAAAGCTGAAAGAAATACAACGTACTTGAAACAATGAGGTGGCATAAAGGAGATGAGGTGAAAGCTGTTCAAATAAAAAGAAAGCATGGGGAAGGAAATTGGTACCAGAGAGAGGTGGGGGTGGGTTGAATAGGAGAGGGGGACTTGTGTGCACTGGAGTAAACTGGGGCACCAAGGGAGAGTGAGAATGAAGAATGAAAAGGAGAGGGAGAGGGGGAATGAGTAAAGAGGGGAGCTTTTCACAGTCACGACATCGTACGACTGTCTGCCTGCAAGGAGAATTGAGAATTTTTGGAGTCTGTGTGTGTGTGTGTCTGTGTGTGTGTGTGTGTGTGTGTGTTTTCTACAATGTGCCTATGCAGTTTCAGCATATATGTGTAGAAATGACAAGACTGTGTTAATGGGCTCTGGCATCAGCTTCAGTCTTTCTTCCGCGTGCCTCCTCATCTTCATCCACATGCACATTTTCTGTTTCCCCTCCCCCCAAACCCCCTCCCTACCAATCTGATAAGTGGCATGCCTCATGCCGAGCTATCAGCTGACACTGGATCTCAGTGTGACAGTTATGCTCCCCCGCCCTTCCCTCGCCCTCCTATCCTCCAGCACCCCGAGAGTCCTCATCTGCTTGCTCCTCCCCACAAATGTGGGCCACTCATGGCTGCACTGGGAGATGTGGGAGGACAGGGTGTTGAGCGGAGGTGAAAGCACTGAAAACTAGAGTAGAGGGATGCTTTCTGTTCCTCAGTTTATTATTCTTAACCTGTGAGGAAGCACATGTTTGATTTTGTGAGTGAGTGTTTAGGGTATGCTAAGGTAGTTATTAGATAAATGCAGATTTGTTGATCTTCACACCATATGAAACATCACCTCCATTTATCACAGAACAAATACATGCTCACATGTTATACCATTTTCACTTCTGGGTGTGGACTCTAACATATGCTGAATGTAATCTGAGAGAAAGTTATAATTGTTTGGCTTTTCCTCTGCATCACTTATCATAATGCGGTACTAAGGCAAGGACAAGGTGAAATTAAAGGTACATTTAAAATAATAATATCACCAAATGTGCAGTCTAAAATTTGAAGCAGAGTGGTCACTGAGGGAGGAAAAGACTCTTTTCATGTCTTTATTGACAAAGATTTCTCATGTTGCAGCACCCTTGAGCAACAAAGCAATTTAACTTCAGCTGTAAAAGTCTGTGTTGCTATTTTGAACATGAATTTGAATTTTGACTGTTTTGGCCACAGATAGATATATCTGTGGGAATTTAAAAATATATTTTGGTCAAATGCAAAGTTAGGATTCAGCATCATCTTCACTTGACTTCACAGCTAAAAGAAACATGTCCTTTAGAACAAATTAAAAAAAGTAAAACAGATTTTATCAACACATGGAAAACCGCAGCTTTAGTTTAAGTTTCTCCTACGTCTTCAAAGCTAGATTTTGATCTGCTGACTTAAAAGGGTTATTTTTGTGTGATGAGCTACCTGATGACAGTGTCTTCAGAGTGTTAGAGGCATGACTGGTTGTCGTCTTTCTCCAACCCCACAGTGGGCCTAACCGCTAACAATGAAATATTCCACTGTGGGAGGTGGGCCAATCATGCTTGCTACCTTAAACCACTGTACAAAAAAGAAAGAGGGGTGGTTTTGAAGAGGTATTTCACTGTCCAGCTGGATGTCCTCTGTTTTGGCAAATGTGATTGGGCAATTCTGGGCCTCCATCTGACAGCTTGGGAGTAATTAGGTTTAGAATGATCATACAGTGCTCCAAGATAGACCTTGAAGTATAGTGGGGAGGCTTATTAGTGTGTGTATGTGTCTGTGTAATGGGTGTGTGTGTGTGTACGAGTGAGAGGGAAGGAGTAGCAGTGGTATTGCACATTGGAGTTAATTGAATCTGAAATCGTGTCAGCCTGAAATGAAATCCACCGATGTTTCCCATGCCATGTCTCCTATAGGGGGTTGCAAACATGAGTGAATTCATAAAATGTGTTATCAAAGAGCTCAAATTAATTGTAGCAGCATACCCTTCCATGCTCTGCCAGATCTATGACAACTAATGATTGACCCCCAATGTCAACCAAATTCACACTTTTCTGTTATGTTTTATGTTGTTCCCTACCTGTCTGTGTCTTGTTCATTGTTACAATTGCCTTAGTCACTTCACTCCTTTCTTCATCTGTAGTATCTCTCCTTTTATCCAACATGATGTAAATTGAATCGCCCGTTGTCCTGCAAATCTGTTTCTTTTTCAAACTTTAAGCCACTTTTTGTTCTTTATTCCAGACTTTATCGCTTTGAATGATCATAACAAAAACCTTTTGATTGCAATGCTCAGAGAACAGAAAGAATTCAAAACAATATTTAAATATTTTTAAAAATGAGAAAGGGACCGATCTTGTTTTGTCCTCTAGATTGTACAAAAGAATGACTGATAGCCCATTTGGTAAACTGTTATAATTTTGTTTTGAGGTCTGTTGTGAAAGAAGAAAAATTTTAAGATGAAATAGAAACATATTCATATTACATGTACAGAGGATTGAAATGCACATGGGAAAATCTATTTATTTTTCTCTATGTTGTATGCAAATTAATTGGGCTGCCTGCTACAGTTGGAGTCATTACCAGTCTGCTCACCCATCAACTAGGCTTAGCGTGTAATGAAAAAAAGGCATTTGGCTGAAATGACCTCTCCCATTTGCAGAGTTCCCACCGGCTGATGTGCACACATGTTAACAAATGAGTAAGAGGATGGGTTGTGGAGGAGAGACAATCACAGTGAAGCAAAGGGGAAAAAAGCTAAGAAAATTGCATTTGAATTACAAAAGTTATATCAATCAATGTTGAATTACACTTCTGATTTCCATCAAAGACAGAGAATTAAAGCCGGGTACTATATTCCATTCTTTCTGTGCCTCAACATGTGTTCAGCATATTACAATAACTAGTAATTTTATTTTCTGTGTCTGAGAGAGCGGATTTTTATTGATGGATCGAAATGTCATTGTCATGAATGAAGCTTGATCGGAATTTTGCATCCATAACACATTGTGTCTCCCAGTGAATGAGGGGGGAGGTGAATGCAGGGCTAAATTGGGAGGGATTGATAAGAGAGCTCAGTAGTTACAAAAACATGTATTGTAACCCACATATCCTCATAATATCTTGTTCAGACGCTTACTGTTTAAGTTTGGGTAAATTCTGTCTTTGTTGAATAGTTCTGCTCTCTTGCACACAGAAATGCCATTTCATGTCACTGTAGTATGTGGAAATATCTCAGAAGCTCAGGAAGGTAAGCTGTCCAGTTGGCATTAAAGTCACAACCAAATAATGTGTTTGGATAAACAGATTTTAAAAATGGCATTTGTTAAACACTACATAAAGCTGATTAGGATACAGCATTTGGGCAGTTAGTAATTGGAAATTTAATTAGAAAAATATAATTTCATTTTTTTCATTTTTTGCATGATGGTATAGAATCCCCAAGTTAATTCTGGTTGCACAAAGACAGACATTGTCACCAGACTGGCTGGGGGATTCCCACACTGGCATTTTGACCAATTTTGCCCCTGCCTCTCTGCCTATTTTTCGTCACATTGAACTCTATTTCATCCCTGAAAACATCTTAACAAGGCCTTTTCATGGAATTATATTCAAACGCTCTGTAGAGGAATAGATCTTACTAGTAGAGGCATTCAGATGGAAAGAAAGTCTTATGCAATGGTTTATTTGCACTAAATTCAGGTAAAGTTATAATAAAATGTACTGTATTGTAAAGGTAGCAAAAGCAATTGCTAGCCCAACAGTGAGCCTGTGAGCATGAAATTATATTGAAAACATCAATGCTGAAAGCGTTTGTAGGCTTAGTGATATTTTAGGCCTTTAACTCTTGCAGAATTGCACTCAAAGGGTACTCTGTACTCTTTCATACTAAGCCTGCTGCATTGCAGCACATGGTCAATAGTTGACAGAGACTCCTTTGATTCCTTCAGATTTAATGTTGTCTTTTCTCATGCTCTGCCAGATTTAACAGAGTTATGTAGCCTTATTTTTGATGGGCCATGTCAACAGTTTTTTGTTGTTGTGAGGGAAGAGCAGTCCCTCCACCATTATTTGGTAATCTTTCAATTGTACACAAGGTAAAAGGCTTTTCCAAATGAATGCAGCCAGTGAAATATTGTGATTTACTATGAAATACATGAAGTAAGTTATACTTAAAGTATATACTGTATGTCACAATGTTGTATTGCAAAAAATAGACTGTTTTCTTATCTGAATATCTTTATGACCCAAAATATCTTTTGCGGTTTTTTGGCCACAGAGATTATACCATAGTATAATTGTATAGGCTGGACTATTTTTCTTCCTTTCCTCATTGTCATCCCATGAACATGAATGTGTTGTCAAGTTTCCCCAATTTTATCAGTAGTTATAGGTCTTGTTTACAATTTTCCAATGCAAGTGTATCATAGTGTAAAATGTTTTTAGTGTCTGGGAATGGGGTTTGAGGTTTAGCATAAGAGAGCAAACAAACTTAGAAAATTATGTGGATGTGCCTTACCAATATTAAGGTTTTAGCCCTAAGAGGGTTTGATTAGAGTAGACTACTAAATACTGAGAAAAAAATTATATTGTTACCCCAGTACCAACTGTAATATTGTATGCAGTTTGTTTATATTGTTAGACCTGTCTCGCTGTATGTTTTTTAACCATCAACTTTGTTAATTTGCTTTATAGTATTGTCCTGGATTTTTTAAACTAACTTCTGATGTACAGTCACTATTCCCGAGATTACCAGGGATTCCCACTTCAGCTCATCTTAACTTCATTCACCATTACTGTCACTCCCCTCCTGTTTTTTTCCCAGTACATCTACACATACCCCCTTCTCTCCTTCCCTACTGCCCTGGAGATTCATCATGGCATTGACAGAAAGACCTCTCCTGTCTCCCAGTGAATGGTGGGAGGGATGTGTATCACGGATCAGCAGTTCTACTGTCTCCTTTCTCCGATAGACTCAGAGATGTGGGCCATTGTGCATCCATGCCTTTATTTCAAATCCTGACGTTTATGAGACAGTGAACCAGTTTGATTTCTCCCATTTGCCTATCCAGTTGACAAGCTCTCAGAAATCAGGCATTTGCATTTGCCAAAACACATTTGTCTCAAGACTCATCTGCATGCAAATTAATTGAGAAACAGTAGCGAAAAAGGAGGGATAATAAAAACAGATAATACAAGAGGCCTGATTAACAAAATTAAATTGAGGTAATCTTATATGACAATTATCATCAGCTTTTGTTTTTCTCACCTGCCAGTAGGTATTAGCTGTAGGTTGTGAGAGCAGATCTAAATATTTAATCGAATATTTTTTCAACAGACACTTCCGATTTGGATGAGTTTCTCCACCCTGGCTTTGTCTGTATAATCAATCATATCAGCAGTCGGGCACTTTGACATTGACAGCTGAGAGTCCCCTCACTGTAAGAGTAGAGCAAACACTGATTGATGCATTTGCTAAATTCTGGGTGCTTGTGATGACGTCATGAACGGAGGAAATGGAGTCGCAGTGATCAAAACGTCCCATTAAGAATGCAGTGTGCTGTCGTGTATCTAGGTCACCGCTATGCCACCTACTACAGCTTTTCCATGAGGAAACTATAGTGCTGCCCCCGCCCACCCATAACCTCACCCCAGTGTTTCACTGCAGTGTAGCGATTGACAAATGCAAGTTTGTATGAGCTCTTTTGTCTTTCTATCGAGATATGCATGATCTTTTTTCTTTGTACTGCTGCTAAGGTGATAAAAATGCCTAAGACAATCAAGAAAGACAAATCTTCACATTAATTTTAATTAGTATAAATAGAAGCCACACAAACAAAGCTTTGATGAGAATTAGATTACTTTCTCCCAGGCTGTGCAGGTCTTTTTCATTTAACTTGTCCTTCAGAAACTCCTTTTTCACCGTAGTAATACACTTTAACAAATGGATGTATGAATTTGTTTAGACTGTTTATTTGTGAAATAATGAAAGACTTTTATCAGGAATGTCAAGAGTCTGAAATGTTTCTTTCCCCTCCCCTACATCAGACACACAAACATATATCTCAGTGATTTATGTGAAACAAGAAGAGTATGCTTGGTTTAGCCTTGTCCTTTGTATTGTTCAGGTTGTTTGAAATATAGAAAAGCTGAGCTGCCGATTGATAAATAGATACACACGACAATATAAAATATGCACAGGCATATTTTTCTGTAAATGTGTAAATATGAATAGTCAGCAGACTAGAAAAATGGCTGAACCCCCTTTTTTTTTGTTTGAAGTACCTTTATGGTTTTATGCTTTACACTACACACACACACATGTATATATAAATATATATATATACTGGTGTTAGTTTAAAGCGAAAATATAACCTTAGCCATTCACTCTGATGTAATTTCAGGACCTTCGATTTTGCTTGCAGTCTTATCTATTTTCTCTTTGGTGTCACAACTAGAAATGTATTTCTCAATAAAAGCAGATCCGTTTCAGTGCTATAATTTTGAAAATTTACCATACCCTTGTACCTTGTGCATGTACATACATGCGCATTTATCATGCTTTTTACAAATAACGCTAAAAAGAATCTCGAAGAAAGTACAGTTGAATATCTGTTACGTGATATATGATCTGCGCCCTGCAGTTTACAGCCCTGTTAGTTTAAAGCAAAAATATAACGTCAGCCATTCACTGTGATGTAATTTCAGGACCTTCGATTTTGCTTGCAGTCTTATCTATATTCTCTTTGGTCTCACAACAAGAAAATTATTTTTCAGAAAAGCAGATCCGTTTCAGTGCTAGAATTTGGAAAGTTTACCATACCCTTGTACATAACCATGTACATTTACCATGCTTTTTACAAATAACGCTACAAAGAATCTCAAAGAAAGTACACTTGAATATCTGTGATATGATCCGTGCCCTGCAGTTTAAAGCATCTGCCGTATGCCTGCACACATTTACAACACCAATCAAATGTCGTTTTTTATCAGGCCATTGGATTCACCTGCAAGCTTTGAATTAAAAATTGAGACTGAGAAAGATATTTTTTGACAGAGTATGAATGGAGAGAGCCAAAACAAAATGGATGGAAGCAGAGCTAACCACAAAGAGAGGCAGAAATTTTAGGAAACACTGACCGCTTTAGAAGAAAAAAGGGATTTATGACAAGAAAAAACAGACAGTGAGATTTTGTCATCTTGTCCTGCCAAAAACTCATCATTTCCATGTAATCGATTCTTTTTGTTTCATACAAAGACATTGTTTGAGAAAAAGAGCATATGAATAAAATCATCTTATCGTAGAATTCATACTTAATTTTGTTTTTCAACCTTTCAGTGTGGCGAAAAACCTGCAGAGTGTTGTTAAACTAAGTAATCTTCAATGGTATGGCTTGTCTTTGCTCAGTTGGGGAACCTTAGCAGCATGGAAGATTCTGGTGAGAATCCATTTTTCCTCCACTTTGCCTGTGGCGATGTCCCCCTACTGGGGCTTGGCCTGATGTCATGAATAAATGCATGTCATGCCTTCACAGTAGGTACAGAACATGCTGCTTTCCCACCCTGGATGAGCCATTATGACTTCCAACCTCATTTTCTTCTCCTCATTGTTTTCATTCCTTGGCTATAAGACTAAGGACTGAGTCCAATCAAAAGCCCCACCTCACCTTCTTGGAAGGAAATCAGCTGGTTCGGTGTGTTCATGTCATTCTCCAATAACGCAAAGTCCAGAAGGGTCAAGATTTTGATGTTACCTGGGAAAGGCTCAATTCTTCTACGAATGGATGAAAAGATAGCTTCGTTAAGGATTTCTAGATTGTGGAGGCTCCTTTTTTTTTACACATAATATGCACTGTATCTTAAGCATGACTGGCAAATCTCAGACTGCCTGACTTCTTAAGCTCATATGAGAAAGGATTTCCTCACGATGTGTCGGTTTCCAATTTGAAAGGGGTTGAGTTGAGCAGGAAGAGCAGTGACTGACATTACACGTAGTGGATAATTTGTCCCACAGGGAGAAAGACATTGGCTAGTGCTCATGGTTGGTGGAAACATAGTCCCGGAGGTTGTTATGACGGGGAAGCAGTGTTGGAGACATTACCCAGAGATCACCAATGAACAGTGAAACAAAAACTAAATGTATCATTTCTAACCTTTACTCTTAAGAGTTTTAAGTAAATATAATAACAATAATATTTGTTTTACTTAAAAGTGCTTTTAAAATACTCAAAGGCACTTAACATATAAAGTGCATTAAATCAGCAAGTATATACAAAACAATATGAATTAGTACACTAAACACACAAAAATACAAAACAGATTGCACTGAGCTAAAGATTAAAAGCAATTCTAAAAAGGTGTGTTTTTGTCAGAGAGTTAAAGGTGGGCAAGTCAGTACATTCTTGGATGTGTTTGGGTAGAGAGTTCCAGCTGCAGAGAAGGCTATGTCTTCACAGTTTTAGTACTTGGTCCTGAATGGTGAAGTAAGGAGGTTAGCATCAGATGAACACTGGCTGTGGGTGGATAGTGGTGATGGAGCGGTCAGTGAGATGGGAAAAGGCCTGGTTAAGGAGAGCTTTGTGTGTGAGGTGGAGGGTTTTGAACTGAATACGCTATAAAACTGGAGCCAGTGTAGTTTCTGGAGGAGAGTAGTGATGTGATCTTCGGTTTGGACAAGGTGACAAGCTGCAGAGTTTTGGATGTACTGTAGTGTATTTAAAGTTTTGGATAGTGTTCCGTAGAGGATGCTGTTTCAGTAATCAATTCTTGAGGTTATGAAGGCGTGGAAGAGGTTTTCAGCAGCAGAAAATGATGCTGTGAAGGGTGGTGACAGGCAGTGTTCCTGACATGAGAGAAAGCACTTCTGATGATTTTGTTTATGTTATGTTCAAAGAAGAGGTTTTTATCAAAGATGACTCCAAGGTTGTGACTGTGGGGGGATGGAGACAGGATGGGGTTGTCAATAGTGAGACGGAAACTGTCTGTGGTTTTGTCAAGGGATTTGGAACCAATAATGATCAGGTCTGATTTGTCACGGTTACAATTTGAGAAGGTCGGTCTGCATCCAGGACATCAGCAAGGCAGTTTGAGAGTGGAGTGAGTGGCGGGGGTGATGGAGTTAGTGGAGATATAAATCGGCATAACAGCTATAGTGGAGCAGGTACATTCGAAAAAGAGGACCAAGCACCAATCCCTTTGGGACAGAGGAACACTGGAGGAGGTGGACTTGTTGATGTGGACGAATTGTTGTCTGTCTGTGAAATATGACTTGAACCAGGAGAGTGCAGTGCCAGTAATGCAGAGAAAGGACTCAAGGTGGAGAATGGTGTGGTTGATGGTGTAGAAAGCTGCGGCAAGGTCAAGGAGGATGTAGAACGTGAGGTGTCGGTAGTCTGCGGAGAGGAGGATGTCATTGGTGACTTTTAGGAGAGCTGATTCAGTTGAGAAGGGAAAACGGATTTAAATTGTTCAAACAGGTCAAGTGGGCTTTGAGTCGTGTGGTGACAATACATTCCTTTATTTTGGACAGAAAAGGGGAGATTGGAAATGGGCCAGAAGTTTGACATTATGTCAGTGTTGAGTCCAGGTTTTTTAGGCTGGGGGTGACAAAAACCAGCTTGAGTGAGAAGTGGACTAAGCCAGAACTGAGGAAGGAGTTGATTTTTTTATGTGATGAGTGTGGAGATTACTGGTAAGAGTCCTTGATGAGGTGAGAGGGGATGAGATCTAGGACACTTGTAGACTTTCTTTTATTTTTTATTTTTTTACTAAACATCTTTTTGTTGCGTTTTTTTATTTTTTATTTTTTTATTTTTTTAAAACCACAGCTATAAATCTTACCTGGAGAAAATATTTGGCCTTACAAAGACGGCAGTAATAAAATCCCATTTTACTGCAAGGACATTGCCCAGTAGGCATAACTGTTTTGAAATCAAGCCATGATATGCCCTTACATTTTGAATGACTTGATGAAGAATTCATATCTGTTTGCGTGAACGTGGGATTGTCATAACTTCATGCTGTGTACCTTTTGTCATGAAAAATAACATATTTTGGCTCTTCTTCTCGTCGATAAAATAGTCTACATTAATGGTCCTTTGCAGCTTGTCCAAAAAATAATTAAGCGTGAAAGCATATTTTCTTCCCCCCTCATGGCTACTACCAATACATTTTCAAGGGATCTGGGCTCAGACACCACATCAGATGACTGTGGGGGACTTCACCCTGGGAGATATGGATTAACTTTCAGGTTGGCTAAGCAGAAGCCCTAATGATTCTCTTTTTCCGGCCTTGAAATTATCTTCTCATCATTTACTAAAATTGACAGATGCATTTTTTTTCACCTGGTACCCTTCACAGATTTCAATAACAGCGAAGAGGTAACACCTTATATAAGTCAATAATTTCAGGTAAGCAAGTCTGTCACATTCTTCTGTTCACTTCGAAAACCTTTTCAGGGAGCAGATAGCTGTTTCTGATTTTTTTCAGTAGTTTATCAACTAACTGAACTACCCTCGAAATTCTCCACAGAAGATGTCAAAACAGATTAGCTTCTCTCAAATATACTCCAAAGATACAATGATGGTAGCGATCAAACTGGCTTTGAGGCTTTACATAATTTACTTTTTTTTCTCTCGCTGAAGTCTGCCTGACTTTCTACTCCTCTGTTGTGTTGATCCCTCGATGAATTATTACCCTGTTAATCAAGGAAATTCATGTATGAGGCATCCACTGACAGCTGTATAAGCCTATTTCTATGGTGATGAACAATGTTGACTAGGGTATGAGTAGAAATTAGACATTTTAGAATATTCATTGTTTTAAGATGCTGTCAGCAGACTTGGACATAACACTTCAAATGTCCATAAATTGTATAATCCCATTTGTGGTCATCACAGTAAAATAAACAGTATAAATGGCAACCACATGTATTACATCTATCTAAATAAGGTTTTCTAATAAATCTTGTCATCATCATGACCATGCATTTATGAACATTGCACAAGGCAGCTCAAGTTCTGAATAGATTGCCATGGGTTCATTAATACACCCAGCGACCTAGATTCTGTTAGCATTCCGTACCACAAATCAAATAATATATTCAACTGCTTTTAATTTGTGCACATGGAATCTTTGTCTAATGATTGTTTTAATGTGGGAGGTTTTGTGACCCCAAATTCCATCCATCCATTTTCTATACTGCTTATTCACAGTATAGGCTGGAACCTATCCCAGCTGACAATGGGGGAGAAGCGGGGTACACCCTGCACAGGTAACCAGTCCATCACATGACCACCGACCCAAAACAAATTTTAACATAAGTTTTCTCCTTTTTTGTATTTGTGCATTAACTATTCTTACCCAGGGTTTTATTATCAGCCTTCGAAGTGTATCATCAAACAAAGCTTTGATCTGTTGAAATGGGGCAGAAAATAGATTTCCAAAGATTTAAATTCAAACGTTGTCTGGCCTCAGTGTAGTTATGACAAACAATGTGCTCAAATAGTGACCTTCTGAATTGTAATAGTTTTTTCACATGGTGCTTGTTAGAAATATTTCTAAATATACATCACTGTAGCGAAATTAGAAGAAAAATTGCTGGTTGATGGGAAGAGGTTTACTGTTTAACTGCAGTTATTCCACTGTCACTCTAGCTATGAGTTGCATCTGATAATCAATACCTTATCAACTCTTATCAGAATCATTTGATTTCATTCCCAATAACAACCGAGACAAATGCCAAGGTAACAACACTAAATCAAGAGCCTTGCAACATTTTACTTTCCACCTGACACTAATTTCATATCAGTTTTATTTTATTTTGTTTTCTATTGTGACTGAGAAGCAAAAATGGCTCTGACTTGCAGGATTTGGGCAATTCATGTGAAGGACGAAGCCAGTCAGTGAACCTGCAAGTGTCCCAGTAGTGTTATTTTTTTTCACTTTCCACTACCTCTGCTTTGATGCTGGTCCTCCTTTCAGGCCACTAGTGATGGGAGAAGAGCCTTTCATTTGAGAACTGCTGCATGCCCAGAGCCTTCCCTTTGCTAAATCTGCCAATATGTTTCACCATAACAAATCCCTTACTCTACTGATGTTGATCCAGAGGAAAAGGACGAAAAATATACCAGAATTTTGCCTCCCCTACGGTTATTACATTTTTTTTTTTTTTTGGGGGGGGGACAAATTGGTTGAGGAAAATAGGAAGGTGAATCTGCCTCAGGAAGTTAATGGAAGTCCTTGAAGTCGGGCAGCACTCTCTCCTGCTCTGGTGATAGATAGTGGAATCATAATTATTCGCATTCTCAGTCTTATCATACATTTTTATTAGGGTCATTTGTTGATTAATTAATCAGGTAATGTAGCCCACAGATTGCTTCTGCTGTCTCTTTTTTTATGTAGCTACATATGAACAACCCCTAACTGTAGAACACTCAGTGGATTTAGATTCCAAAGCACTTTCTTTCCAATAAAGGTAATGTGATCAAAGGACCAAGTTGCTTTGAATTTAGATAACTTAAAGAAACACCCATGAGGTATCAGTTTACTATTCCATGAATGTATTTATTTCCACCAGCTCAAAGTAAACCTTGATTGATGCAGTTTTTCCAGCTTTCAGAGAAAGTTTCCAAACTGTCAAGTAAAGCTTTGCAAGGATGATAAAAATAAACTCAGAGCAAAGCTCCCATAGGGCTGGGGGGGATCAGAGCTGAATGTTTTTTCCTGTCTGACATTGAGCGGAGCTGTTCAAAGAGTCACATCTGAAACGCTAGGTGAACATTAAGTTGCGAAACACAAAAAGTTGTTTGTGAATATGATTCTTGAATTTCTTCAAGTTTTTATTTCATATCAGTGTATATTATTGTCAGTTTGCCAAAGGAACTTTAATTGAACTAAATCTCCTTTTTAATTATGTTTACATGTCCAATATTTTAGTATTTTGAGCATGATATGATCAGCAGGACTGAATAAGACAAATGTATGACCATTCCTGAAAAGACTTCGAATTAGACCTGTGGTATAATAATATAAACAGCAGCAAATCTTCCAAATCAAAAGATGTGGCAGGTACAGACCACCAGTTTAGCCCAGACTTATATCAATCCACTCCAACACAGTCACTAATTCAACAGGTTGGCTGAATAAGATTGTTAAGCCATGCTTCACAGATCAAAGTTGATAGCTTATAGTAAAATGCTGTACAGACAAGACAGTATTTTAAGCATACTATTATCTTGTGCACACTGTGGATATTTGATTTCTTGGTTTACTCTGTTGTTTTGTACTTTCTCCCAAACTATCCAGGAAGAAGGACTAGGAGAAAGAAATATTATCAAAGCTTTTAATCAGTGAAAATGCATATTCCATTACATTTACTGATTCCTCAATCATATTTCCATTTTCCACTCTTCATTGTATTCTCACATCTCTTGGCCATAGTATCAGGTAATTCAGTCATCGAGCACTAAACCAACCAGAAGAATTATGGATCATCAGCATATCCTATTCTCATTTTAGCAGAAAACTATTAGTGTGTCATTAAAATGTAAAAATATTATTAAAATCTAAAGGATGCCTGCTAGCGTACCCATTTCCTTTGTTTGCAGAGTTTAATAGTTTATTTTCTAATATAAGCCATGGGCTGTTGCCGCTGCCATCAGTCTAAGCAAACTTCACAGCACATGGACAAATCAAAGCTGAGTTTATCCATTTTATGCAATTACATTGGAATATAGACAAGATCTTTTTCTGTAGTGTATTGAGACTCGTCAGTTAGGGAATTGGCTGGGTTGAGTTGATATGGTTTAATGCATTTTGATTCCATTTATATGAAAAATGCCAAGTTATTCTTTCAATATTGAATTGGTGCCACGAGAGATTCGTATTGGGGTGTCTCCACAACAAAAGTAATCTGCAGATTTTGACAGTTTGACACTTTAATTTCCTACACAGTGTTTCACCTGAATTTCCCAGATAAAGGAAAATCCATTCTCCCATAAAAAATGTCCACATTGGTTTCTAAATTATCATTGCCTGAACCTCAACTCAGTATGCTTCTCTGTCCTGTTTTTATCTTAGGTTTGGAAAGAACCGTAGGGATGAGCATCCAGATGACAACGTGGAGAGGAAAAACTCCACTAAATATAATGTGGAGGATGCGGAAGCAACAGAAAAGGATACAGTGCGAATGAGGCTGGAACAAGAGAGGTGAGAACCGGGAGGGAAACTGAGTTTGCTTAAAGCCAGAAAAATGAAGTTTCAAAGAACTCAATATTTTTATTTATTTATCAGTTTTGGATTGTTGTCTGCACTGCTCAGGAAAGCTGACCTAATTGTGCTCTGACATCCCAGGGGATTGAGTAATGTCCATTATATCAATCACTGCCGATCAGCATTAGTCTTTTCCTGTAACTTGCCTGTGTTGTTAATCATTCAAGATTATCCTGTTCCTTTTTATCCACCTCACTTTATTCTATGGTGTTTTGCTTTTCTGGACATCAAGACATCCAAAAGAATAAGGCAAGGAATTAGTTTGGCTGCATGCACCTCATTCCTCACAGACAAGCCTCATTTAAATCTCTCCAGTGAGAGCCCACACAATATTGGTGGCAGGGTGAATGAAAGGACAGCTAGCTGCCTCCATTGTTCTCTACCATGCCAAATGAACTCAGTAATCAAACTTCTGTTGGTAATGACACTTAATTGAATAGAAACAATAGGGCTTGATAGCACTCCCTCTTACACTAAAGGAAGTGAAGGGTGGGTGGCTGTTGATATTGTAATGTACTGATACAGACATACTAAACTGTCACAAAGGCCCTGTTTCCCACTGAATGGAACATCTGGAAGCCTTACTCCAAAAGCTGTCATGCATTCATTCTTAGTGTTCGACCATGATTTGCAGGGAAAGTCTTATCCATTTAGGGTCGCGACTTTTTTGGCTGAAGGCCCAACACATTTCCCTCATGGCGCCCTGGAGACCAGTGGGCCAGGTTCCTCATCCACTTTGAAGCAGCTCCCAATCAAGTGTCATGCTAAGTCACAGAATCAAGACACAGTAGGCAAGAGATGTGTATAGTACGTGTGCTCCAAACCCTCCCCACAAATACATACACAGTATTTTCATGCTGTCCCTTTTTCATTTCTCTCACTGCTGTCATGCAATCTATTGTATGCTGCTTTATCTTTCAGCACATTCTCATTCCCTGTCTTGTTTGTATCTGTTCTGCATGTCTGAGTTCTGAGCTTGCAATGCAGGAGCAAAACCTAATTCCTTCCTTTTGTACCTGTTCCCAAATCCCATCACTCAACTAGGCCAGGATTGTCCCTTGGTTAATGGAAAAAAAATCCTAAGGGAAATTGTGGTGGGCAATAATAAAACATCCTGCTAAGAAGTTAAGTCAATATTCAAAACATAAGATTCAACAAGATGGCAGCTTTAGAAATCCATTACATGTTCTTGGTAGTATCACCGCTTTTGACTCCAAAGATTTGATTACCAGAATTATCAGCATAAGTCATATGTTTTGATTGATTGAATTACTGACATGAAGACATTTCATAGAGCTGTTTTATTTTTGTTGTTGTTGTAAATAATACATTTAATCATTCTAGGTTCAAAGTTAGACATTTTCAGCAAGAACTATGTGTCAGTACAAGCCAGGATGGGCCACAGTCCACCTGATTATTGATTATTGATTTGAGCAGACAGTTTTGAGAAGGGTTTTGGTTTTAAACTGGCATCCAAGAGTAAGTTTAATTCAAAGAGCTGGATGGTTCTACCTTGCAATAATAGCTATAGTTGAATATTTTAAACTTTGGCCATAATATTACAGTTGCATTTGATAGTTTGGTGTGTGATCCCTGCAAATATGCTTTTATGAACTGTACTATATATGTTCATGAAATTTAGATTTTGTTATAGAATTGAATCTACTTGATGAATTGTAGATATTTTCAGCATTAACTTTTTGATGAGCTAAAATTGAACTATCAGAGAAGTTGCCATTATTCGTTTGTTATTTGGATCTGATGTACTTGTTTTGTGAAATCTTCCCAACAAAAAACATTTTAAATGTGCCCTGTTTTATTGTGGATTTTTTCATGCAAAACCACTGGAAGAGAAGTAAAGAAATAAGCCATTTAGTGATAGACTCACTTTCTGACTAATCTCTGTACATTCTAGCCTTAAAATTTGTACAGAAAGTGTGAGTACACAAAGCCAATCTGACATGGTTCTTGCTTCATGTTCTGCTCTTTTTTTTTTTTGTTGTAGCTAACATATTATGATGTCCAAGCTCTGTTATCTGCTTGTCTCCATTTGCCTTCTAATCAGCAACCAGCAGTCCGCTGCCGCTCCACATCTTGCCCTTCCTTTAACAAGCACAGAGCACATCCTCCAGTTCCTTTTGTTTGTTCTCGGACTTAGGGCCAAACAAAACCCAAACAAGTCAGGACAAGTTGTTTTTGATAAGCAGCAAACCTGAGAACTTGACATATGAAGGGGTCATTTTAAGATTTGAATGTTAGTTTGGTATGATATATTCAGTAGAGACATAAAGAAACATTGTGCCTCCATTTGAAAAAACAGCACAACAGAAAATAAGCTCTACATAAATGTTTTCTTTTCCTTCCAGTAACTGTCGTACTACTTTTTATGAGTTCTCTTAATTGCAAACTGTGTTTAAAAGACGTCCTAAAAGTCTGATTGGGAATTGTAATTAGATTTCTGAATATATAAATATTGATTTAGTTAATAACATCAACTTAACACCATAAGGCTTGAACAATTATCTCTGTGATTGCATTGTGATTTGAGTTCCAATACCAAGTTGAGATACTGGGGATTTACAGTTCTGCCTTATACAGTGCAGATATTACACTTTATCTGCACCTAGGAACTATGTGAATTTCAAAAGAAATGGATGTATAAGTTAATACAGTATCATTTGGCTAACACAGTCATTCATTGGATTAATTTGCAATCACCTGTATTTTCAACACAATATTTTAGGAGGTAGTGAACTCTTCCTTTTACTATAGGGTACAAAGAACACAATGTGAATGGGAAACAAGGATGATCTTCTGTCATAAGTGTCAGTGTAATTAAAATGACAATCCATAGTGGGACTGAAATTGAGCGCAAGAGCTTGATTGTACCTTTCTTGGGCGTTTCATTAAAACCTAGGGGACCTTCTCCACTAAAATGCTGTATCTGGTAAGAGGAGAAGGAAATAGGCAGGCTGGTAATTGAGGTTGAACAGTGATAATGTGTTTAGTGTCCGCAACATTTTCCCTCAATGTTAACATGCCGCACCATTAATTGGCTAATGGAGTATACGGTACAAAGCAAAGGTAGTCTAGGAGAAGAAAGTAGGGAGGAACAGCTGTTGCTGCCTGCTCTGAAAATATATATTTTTTTAAATCACACTTAGCAGGTGTGTTAGGTTTGAAGCTAATAAACAGAAAAGTAATATAACATGTACTGTATAAATGTGCAGTGTTTTCCATATATTTTGTTAGGGGCATAACAATTTGTTATATTCCATGTCCAATACATACACCTGCTACACCATTTGCTGTTCTTGAGAAATGATGTACAGCAAACATTTATGTCAAACCAATTGCTAATGCAAAAAAACTAAGTGAACATACAATTCCCCCAAAATGATCTTGTTTGTTGGCAAGGGTCCAGTTATTGTAGTCCATTAAAATAGTTAGTCCACAACAAGTCTTACATCCATACTGCCAAAAAAAATAAAAGGAATATCCATGAAATTTACATTTTGTTGATCTTAATTTTAGTTAGTGTGCATTTTTGTATGTTTTTTTGGGCATTTTAGATTAAGGAGTTAAACCATTGTTTATGATGAGGAGAAAGTCATTCACATATCCACTTTTGTAGATTCATACCTCTTGGCCAAAGATGTAGATTTCTCATTTTATTGAGCCCAACTATATTTTTGATGGGCAAAGGAAGTTGTGACAGGTTTACATTATATAAAAATGACTTGAAACACACAGACAAACTCAATAAGAATGATAAATCAAAGAAAAAATGTATCTAGGCCACAGCACAAAATCAGTTCTGAATACATTACAGGCATCAATTAGGTTTTGCTTTTTGTAATTTGCAAAAGTTTTATTTATACGGTATGTTTTGGTTATTTAAAATGTATGTATAAATATGTTTTGTGTCAGCCCACTGATGCCTGGGAGAAAAATAATCTGTAGATTGATGTTGCTAGTTCAGCCAAAACCATAATCTTATTTGAAATGTCAATAATGCCCTTCTTTATTATTTGATTAGTCAACGAAACGCCAGAAGTTTTTGAAATCCCAGTGGTTGTGGAACTGCCGTAATATAATTTTCTGGTGATTCCAGGCAGAAATCTGACATCATGGCAGGTGAAATAGGCTTTGCTAGTTGTTGTGTAAGTTATCTCTTTCTCCCTCTTTTTTAAAAAGAAATTTCTTTACAAATGGAAAAGCAAAAATATAATCCCTCTGTACCTGTTCCACAATGATGCAATGCACTCAGTCATCTTTGAGACTTTATACTGTAGATGACTGCATATCTAGCCACATTGCATCAAGCTTCTATCAAAATCTCATTTTGCAGATAATACCAAGAAAATGGGATTTTGAAGAGCTAACAATAAACGAGGCTGTCTATGGATAGGATGTGAGAATCGGGTTAATCTGGCACTGAAAAATGGTGTTTGTTTAAAATGTGATTACTGTTATTAAAATACACAGACAAAGGAAACAGAGTTCTACAGGGGATTCTTAGTCTTTTCCCAACCTGTCAATCATATGTAAGGAGCCGCCGTAGGGGTCAAAGGTCAGGTATGACCTGAGGTAATGAGGAAGTCTGGCAGCAGTGGGAGGTAACGTGCTTGTCTCCAAGTGTGAATGAAGGCTTTACACAACAGCATTCATAACATCTGGAACCAGTGAATGGTTTGGTGGCCACTACCTGTGTCTCCACGGTGGGAGGTCAGCTCACCCCTTCGCTAGTCCTTTTTCCTTTTCCATCCACTGTCTTCCACACTGCTCTTGCAGTTCTTTCAGATCTCCCTGCTCTCATGCAGCCTGTGTCTTGTTAGCAGTGGACAGATGGGCATTCAAATGGAACCATTTTCTGAAATAGCAAAGGTTTTGCAAAAAGCTGTGTTGTCTGGTACTCGTCCCTTGGAGAGGTGCAGCATGAGGGGTGAAAAAGCAATGTTGGAGAGGATAAGATCCCCCCGCCCCACCCTCATTTGTCTGAAGTCCTAAGGTTTTAACCCTATAATGCTAAATGTATCATATTTGATACATACGGTTTCTGAAATGTTTTGCGTCTGACACCTTTTTCATAATTTAATGGTAAACACTTTGCTCAAAATCCTTGTGTACACAATCAGATACACCTGATAACAGGGTGCAGAAGACTACACGAAAAATTATATTGACTTATCGCATAGTAATAAATTATTAATTTAAAAAATATATTTTTGTTTTTTCTTTTTACATATTTTGTTAAAAGGCCAAATAAGGAATTCAAATAAAAAAAAAGTAATTTTCTGTTTTGTTTTATTCTTGGATCAGGCTTTAAATGGTTAAGAACATTTTACTTATTGTCGTTAGAAACAAATGTGCCTGGACATCAAATGTTCAGGCATATTTGAGGAGGAACTCACGTCTTATGCCTGGTCTGATTGATTTCTGAAATAAAAATTTTAAAATGAACAAAGTTTAAGACCTCTCAGTCTCAGTTCAACCTTTTCTTTTATTATAGTTTTTGTATTTAATATTTATGAATACTTTTTGTCACATTTGTATGCACATGTGTCTGCATGCACTCACACTAATGTGCTTATGTAAAAAATAAATAAATAATTGAATTAAAAATGATATGACTTAACTTCAAGAAGTTTCTAAATGTATCAAAGTTGCCTGGTTATAATTTTTTTTAAAGAATGAAATTGTAGAAGCAATCGTTTTATGTTATAGAAATACAGAAAAAATAAGTTCTATTTACTTTATGATAATTATACAACAATCCAGCAGATATTTTATCTTTGGTAAACATTTCTCAGAATACAGGCCAAGACACGGGAACTTCGGGACAGACAAGCTAAGGAGAGAGAATATGCTGAGATCCAAGATGTTGCCAGCCCCACATTCAGCTCTGACGAGGACCATACTTACGCTGGCATTGGATCATTGGATTCGTCTGTAGACAGCAGCTGCATGGATGCTGACAACCACCACTACCATCTCCCTCAAAGTCCTCAGAACCACCATGTTTCTTTAAATCTCGAAGGCAATGGCCCACCCCTAGAGGCCCTGTATGCACAAGTCAACAAACCTCGCAATGGACGTCCAGCAGTTACAGAAAGGTAAGGAATATATTATGGAAGTGTTCCCTTATACACATACACATATGTACAAAGATTTCGGTGTCATTTCTAAATTTCTTGCTTATTCAAGTATCACTAACTGGCCTAGTGTATCGTGTTATTGATTTGCACCAGTCTAGGTAATTTACATCTCATCTATAATGTATAAGCAGTGCTGTGATTTTAAAATTCCAGTTTCACTTGTCAAGGGTAGCGCTAGATCACAGAACAACACTGAATTTCACACAATGCTTTATCACATACTTTCATTCACAAGGCATCTCCCAGTAAATGCAGGCAAAAATCATAGAAAAAATACTACAAGTACTGGATTCTATCAATATTTTTTTTAGAATTTGACATCAGCTAATCTCCATGTTTCTTCTACATTATTGTACTGGATCATTGTCTTGGCTTGGCTTGGCTCACAAGTAATCCTCCTTGTGACACACAGCAATTGGTTTGAAAATCGCTCATGTTTTGGTATTTCCATTATGAATATATTCCATTTTTGAAGGTTTATCTGCAAGTACAGTTCATGTTTAGAAAAAACAAGTAAAAAAAAGAAAAAGTCTAATCCTTTCGAAATTTCTTGAAAATAGTAAGCTCTCACCTTCAAAGTGTTTTATTTATTTATTTCAACATTAAGGTGCTATTAGATGATTATAAATGCAAGCTTATATTTGTTTCTGGGTCTTAGCCTTGAGTATTAATAGCACAATATGGAGGGTTTTTTTTCAAGGGGAGGATTAACTGTTGCCTAGTGTTGTGATTTGATTTGAAATATTTGCAATGTATAACACCGTGTTTTTGTTTTGCACCTCTTGCTGCTTTGCATATGTTGTGTATGCCTGCCAGGCAGTATGCCTGCAATATTTGTGGCGCCGCCTTTGTGACAATAATATCCACTGGTTCTTATTTTGCTCACAGTCTATTGGCAATTTGCAAAAACGAGCTTGAAACGTATTCACATCAAGACTCATGGCACTTGCCTTTCACAACAAACATAAACATTCATTTGCATTTCTAAATTAAACTTAATAGAATGCTCATTGCCAAGTATGAAGAATCGACACCACAGAAATTGCAATAATTTCTGACCAATTTATGTTTCAAGACTGCCAAATTGGACTGAAATGTTTTGATCACCTCAGTTTAGATGACTCACATTTTGTTATATTTTTAATCCTCTTGCTATAACTTAAAGTTAAATTTTTGATTCTCAAAGATGAGACAAGTTTAAAGTTTAAAAGATAAGTGGGAACCAATTTTTATCTTGACATATATACGGATGCATCTTTATGACATTGGCCATGGAAAACTATAGTATTAGCAAATAGTAGATCATTCATGATACCTAAAGGTTGCTCAAGTTTTGTTTTTTGTGTAGGTTTATTGTTCAACGCTAAAAAAGGGCAAACTAAACTGCACGGCTATTATTATCTCTTTATTCATTATTATTCATTTATTCAGTGGATTCAGTGTGAATGAAAAAAGATACAAGTATAAAAAACAAATTCAATACTTCGTGTATTTCATGAAAGGTGTCATTCCAAATCTGTTATGCACAAACTACGAATAGTCAATATGCAAGAAGTTGCCATCCTTACAGCACAGTATTGATTATATGACCATGGCCGATATCATCTTTTGGTTTTCAAATATCCTCTAGATCACAGGTGTTTAACTCCAGGGCCACTGTCCTGCAGGTTTTAGAGGTGTCCTTGTTTCAACACACCTGATTCACATCAGAGTGCTATTCGCAGGCTGGTCCAAAGCTCAACAATGTTCAGAGGAGAGCCAATTTTAACAGAATCAGGTGTGCAGAAGCAAGAAAATGTCTAGAACCCGCAGGACAGCGGCCCTCGAGGAACAGAGTTTGACACCCCTGCTCTAAATACCTTGAAGAGCTGCTCAAATCTTACAATATAAAGATTAGTGTTGTAAATTACTTTGAATTGAGATCAAGTTAGTTAACAGACTTAGCCTTATTTTGTGACACTCTTGTCTTGGATTTAAACAAAGACTGAAATTGAATAGAAGACTTGTAGGAAGACTGTACACAGACTATATATAAATGTATATGTCACCGTTTGAATTTAACTGAGGTTAAGATCCAAATGTAGAATGATAGAAAATGAAATGGTTCAGAGATTTTGGTTAGAAAAAAAGCTTTTCACATCCAGTCAGCTCATGGCTTTAAAATGAATAGTTTAAATTCTTGCAATGGCCAGAGCATTATAGCTTTTCATCTTTTAGTCATCTATACCTCATGAGTTTGAATACATTTGTAGGAGTTACGGCTGTAGCGTCAGCCGTTTTTTTGAAGACATTCTCGGGTAAAGACTTGCGTATCTACCTGCACATGTCCACCGAGCAAGGCCACTGAACAAGGCAAACCTGTTCTATTTGCCATATCTGCTTTCACCCCAGCCCTACCACCTGCTTTGAAAATGTGCCTAAATCCCATCCCTGTTGTCTCTGGCTCACGTAGAAGGCTTTGCATAACCAAATAACACCACAACCTTAATGACCTCCGCTCTCTAAAAGAAAACTCACTCTGTGAAACCATTGTCTGTGGGGATGTGGAACGGCCAATTGACAGTAAACAAAGCTGACTTCAAAACTGCTTATGCCAAACACCTGTCACTTGAAATTCTGGCTCTCAATGAGATTAAGCCTGAATACAATGCTACATCTGTACTCGACCAACCACACATTCGCTCACACTGGTTGAGGTGGTGGAACGGGCCTGCTAATTTCCATTAAATGGAAATACCAACACATCATACCTAATTGAATACCATGCCATCTTGGAGCACCACTCAAAATCTGCATGCTTGTCATATATCGTCCACCAGGTCAACTTGGTGACATTTTTAGATGAACTTGATATCTCGCTCTCTTCCATCCATGAACATGGCTCCCCTACAATGGTCATTGGTGACAGGAATATCCACTTTGACTGCCCTAATTCTTCTGATTATCTAACATTAATGCATTCATTTGAACCTACAACTGCTCTGCACTTCTCCAGCAAAGTTATTTCTTAGTCCCACCCATGACTTAATGATACACTAAGATCACTGCACACCAACCTCACTGCTGCAGAAAGAAAATGGCACACATCAAAACATCCTGCAGCTCTAACAAAATTCCAGGCACTATGCTCAGCATTCTCATTAAGTGTCACTGATGCAAAAAAGGCTTTCTAACATGGTAAAATTCACATTATAACTGACACATGTAAACTATTTTCCTTCTTCAAAATTCTATTTTACCCTCCTTCACCTGCTACCAATCTAACGGCAGACACTTTTGCCTAATTTTTAACTGATAAAATGGCAGCTATATGCCAAACCTTTACCAAACTGCCCACATCTGAACCTTCTCATAGCACAAATACAAGCATAAGTACAACTGCTTCTTCATTTCTTCTTCATTCTTAATGAAGAAAATGAGGAAACTGAGAGCAGTGTCTAAACTTTTAACATGTAGCCATCCTACTACATGCCCATTAGACCCAGTTCCTACTAATTTATTATATAGCCCGTTCAGTAACTGCAGCAGTCACACATGTGATTAATGCTTCATATGACATCAGGCACATTTCCTACCTCACACAAGCATACAGCACTGCTCAAGAAACCTTCTCTCCCACTGACTCAGGTGGAGAACTATCAGCCAGTCTCTCTCCTCCCGTTTCTGTCTAAGACCAGTGAAAAGGCAGTCCTTGAGTAGACCACAGAATACCTCTAACAAAATAACCTCATTAACCTCATTGATACAAACCAATCTGGGTTTAAAGAAGCCACTCCACTAAAATGACTCTGTTGGCCGTGGCAGAAGCCTCGAAAGGAGCCAGAGTCCTCAGTCAACCGCAACATCTCTCTATCTATACACTCGAGCATTGGTGTCACACACACCTCGCTGGACGATCATTCAAAGTATCCTGGCTTGGTCGCACTAATTCAGTGCACCGCCTCGCCACAGGGTTCCCTCCAGGCCCAATACTGGGACCTCTTTTCTTTGCCCTATACACCACCTCACTGGGCCTGATCATCTGGTCATATATCCTTTCATACCACTGTTGTGCTGATGATACTCAGCTCTTGCTGTAGTTCCCACCTGACAACCACACGGTCTGAGCATGTATCTCAGACTGTCTCTCTGAAATATCAAAATGGATGTAAGCCCATGACTTACACCTGAATCTATCTAAAACTGACAGCTTGTATTTCCAGCCAAACCAAACATACACCACAATATTCACATCCAAACTGAATCTCTGTCTCTTTCTCCATCAAAGGCCGATAGAAACTTGGGTGTCAGGATTGATGACCAACTGACCTTTAAAGATCACTTTGCATCTATTGCTAGATCATGTCACATCACATTACAAAACATAAGAAAGATCCGGCCTTACCGAACTCATTGTGCCACCCAGCTCCTGCTGCAGTCTTTGGTAATTTCCCGCCTCGACTACCCCAATGCTCTCCTGACTGGTTTCCCAGCCTGTACTGTAAAACCTGTAAAAATAATCCAGAATGAGGTGGCACGTCTGGTCTTCAATCAGCCCAAAAAGTCCAACGTCACTGCTCTGTTCATTGAGCTGCACTGGCTACCACTATCCGCCCATATCAAATTCAGGTCCCTCATGTTAGCCTTAAGGGCATAGCTCCCATCTTCTTCAATAATCTGAAAAAGGCTTATGGTACAATTCGGTCACTCTTGTCATCATTGGATTGTCTTCTAGCTGTGCCTATACCATTCTTAAGACTCTTTTCATGTGTCATTCCACTATGACCTATCAAGCGCTACAAGAACAGAGGCATCCCTGTCTATCCTCAAGAAACTCTTGAAAACCCTATTCTCATACCCAGTGCCTCCCCACTCCCTCTTACCACTTTTTCTGTACTTCCCTCTATCTCTTCACTGTCACCACTGTCGCCTCTAACAGTTTCTGACTAGTGATTTTCATCTCAGTAGCTTATTGGTTG